TGAGCACTGTGGGATTAAGAACCATTTGGTTTCAGTCTTACAGAAACAATGTCAAATAAAATGGGAGGCCACTCTTGTTTTTACACAGCAAGAGCCAAGAGGTGCTTGGAAAGATTAAAAGATGAATCATGGACCAAACAAGAAGAGAGAAGTAGGATGAGTGAGCGAGTCCACAGAGGCTCCTGATGTAATGGGGGTAAGAGTTTGAGCATTGCAGTGGAGGAGCCAGCACAGACCTTAGCAGTGACAGGCAATTTTTCAAATACTGAACATGCAAAAAAAAACACAAGACTCCTTTTATGCTATGAGATTCATGCCTCATCAGTTCCAACTCATAGATAAGTGTGTAAGTACCTTAATCTGATACTCCCCAAATCAGTCAGCAATCCTCTGTTTCATGCACAGGGCAGTGGCTTGGACCTTGGACCACTTTTGCACAGATATACATGACCATATAGTGTTGTTTTGCCCTTACAGTAGTGATGTTGGAAGTGTAAGGAGGGTTTTTCCTGCCTGGGACTCGCTGTCTGATGGTGATGATGTGTTATTGAATATATCAGGTCTGGCCAGCAGGGCTTGGCCTGTTCACTGCCCACAGGGACTATTACAGCAGCTCTGTCCCAATCAACTGTTACGCCACGTAAGCGTTTTCATTTAGTGCAGCCCTCCTTTATCTCTTTGCCAGTTTGAGAGGTCTGTTTCTATGAGAGAGGAACTAAGTCATTATAGTAATAAGTAATTATACTGGAATCAGATTGTGTGCATGATCATAATCTAATTATGCAAAGACATTTATTCAGGATGCTGTAATTTATAAATGCTCTTTTGTTTAAACAATAATTTGATTAATATTCTTCTTTGATTCTTTTACTTTTACATGAGGATACAAAAACCTCTCACTGGTGGAGAGATAAAGGAAGGCTGCACTACATAAAAACACCGATCATAACAATTGATTGGGACAGAGTTGCAGTAACAGTCCCTGAGGGCAGTGAACAGGCCGAGCACTGTTGGCCAGACCTGATATATGCAAAAACACATCACCAACAGAGGACACTGAAAACCTCTCCTCATGTTTCCATCATCACTACTGCTCGGACAATATACATCAATGCCAATCTCAGCTGACACCGGGCGAGAGGCGGGGTGCACCCTGGACAAATTGCCAGTCCATCACAGGGCTGACACACAGAGACAGACAACCATTAACACTCCACTTGCAACTTAGAGTCGCCAGTTAACCTAACCTGCATGTCTCTGGACTGCAGGAAGAAGCTGGAGTACCCAGAGAAAAGCTATACAGGCACAGGGAGAACATGCAAACTCCACAGAGTAGACGAGTGGGACTTGAACCCGGAACCTTCTGTCTGTAAGGCGAGAGTGCTAACCCCCTATGGAAAACATTGATTATTTGACATTTGTGATCAGTGTTTACACCCTCATAGTGAGAATAGCAGGTCCCATACCTCCAATTACACAACACAGACACACACAAATCTTTTTTTTTTTTACCCATGTAATCTCTGTCATCATTGTCCTTTTGAAATCAAGCAGGACGGTGCCCCCCCCAAGCTCCACACTCGTCCCCTCATTCCCTGCCCACCCAAAATGTTGCTTCCTTCCTCTAGTTTCAGCCCGCTGCACACAGGGGCCCCTGGCTTGTCTCTGTCTGGGCCTATCCTCAATGAATCCTCTGTCTGACCCCTTCTGCCTCTCCCTGCTCTCTCTTTGTCTCGCTGCTAAACAGGATGATCAGAGCAACAGCGGCGTCTGATCAGCCGCAGCTCATTATACAGGAACGTAGGAGCCTCAATAGGAATACATAGCATTACATAACATGAAGCTACATGGAGGACGTGACATGTGACACAGGTCTCGTGCTCAGGTTGTTATTTGTGAGTAAGTGTAGATATAGGATACTACTCTAATGTTTAAGTTACTGTAGTTTCATAACAGTAACACCAAGAAAGTGAAGCAGACAACTCAGATTTGAGCTTTGTTGATCATTGCCGACCATGTGGGCGTCCTCTATGAGCCAAAAGAAAAACTGTGCACTGTGACTCTAGAGGGTTTCAGCAGCCATGTAAACACCCACTTGGATTATGACCTATATGTGATTATTTTGATAACATTTGTGAGGTCGCTGGAGACAGAGAGGCACGAGGAAGGTGGGTCAGTGGCGGTGCAGAGAGCCATTGCTAAAATTCCTCTATGGAGTGAAGAGGATACTGTATTTATAGCTGTGTTTCAAGAAAAATTGCTTCATCTGCTTTGACCAACCACACACTTTAACCAGCCAAACACACACACACACACACTGCCCCCTCTCCCTGAGGATATAAATATACTTCATGTGACCTTTTCTCAACCATGTCAAAAACACTTAGTCTCTGAATCTGAATAAAAGGTTCCAGAATCACTGTTTTCTTTCTCTCACAGTCCAGAAACACACAGGTTGGGTTAAGTGGTGACTCGAAATTGCCCGTAGGTGTGAATCCAAGGTGTGTAATCTGTCTCTGTGTGTCAGCCTTATGACAGACTGGTAACCTGTCCAGGGTGCACCAGTGTCCCCCTGTGACCCTCTACAGTATGAACCTTTATATAGATGGATGGAAAATCACCGTTTTAATCTGTGCTCAAAGTGTCACCCTCCAGAGGAAATGCAGCACAGCTACATCTGCCATTTTCCTGCTGCTCCATCTGTTCCCTGAGATGGTTCAAGAATAAAATACTGGCTGCTACAGCCAAGGTCACGGTCCTCCTCAGCTCTGGCACAGAGCTGTCCGAATGCTCAGAATGATCCAGAAAACCTTTTCTCACTACAGGCAAAACAATTATAAGATTAGTTCAAAAATAATTAATCTACCGCTGTTTTGCTGTTTTAATAACAGAATAACCTTTAAAATGTAATTTGGTATACAAAATTTCCATTCATTCTCTGGTTCTGAAATGAATAAGAACTGCATAGGTTGCAGTCCTATCCCTCACTTGTTAGGGTTGTTTCACAAATCTGTAAACAGCAGTTACTGTAATTTGGGTACTAATATGCACAGCAATGTGTGCTACAATATGTAAAGCAGAGGGGCTTGATGACAACCTTTCACAGCATCTTCAGTCACTGTACAGGCCATAAAACAGTCTCATGGGAACTTTATAGTGCTTAGCCTCCAAAGAGAACAAACATCAAATCAATGAAGACAAATGATCTGAAGATGAAAACCCTTTCAGCTCATCATGTTCAAATTAGATCATGTTTAAGTTTGTGGCACCGATTTTACTGAATTTGACAAAAAAAAAAAGATCTGTTTAGTGACTTCAAATACAGCCGTGTGTGTTTCTTGTATTTCTACAAATGTGGTGGTAATAGTGAGATGAAATCAATGAGGCTTCTATTGATCTGGAATGAGAGTACAACAGCAGCCAAACAAGAGTGGATGGAATTAAAGTAGTGGCTAAAGGCAGTGCAGTCATTGTGAGTAACAACCTGCTACATGGAGAAACATCTCCTCAGCGGTGGAAAATGCAAAACCATCGCAGCTAGAATCACAAAGCGCAACAGATGTACAGGTACACAAGTCAGATTAGCAGCTCTGAGGCATTTCACATCACACATTCCCAAGTCACTGACAAAATCCAGGCAAAGCTGCCATCAAGATGATACCTGTGATAACAATCTCAAGGCTCGACAAAACACCTAACTGCTGCACGGATTATTGTCAACTGCACACAAGCACATAAGCCACACACATCCTTGCAAATTAAACAAGAATGAACAAATGTAGAGATTAAAAATCTTTACCAAATGTTAATCCCTTTGTGCTTGCTCTCTCACTTAACAGCTCCCTCAGCTGCTGACCTCTAAGGAAAAAAGAAGGGCCACAGAATCTGACCTGTTGACCTCCTATATATAAAAAAAGTCAATAAATCCAATACTACGTGTGAATAAAGCAGGTCGTGAAATATATATATAGTAATTAGTAGGTGCTTTCCAAATATCCATTCACACAGTGCTGAGCAATTTACACCAAGGTACCAGTGCCGAGAAGGCAAGATGCCTCAGATGACGGCAGCTGAACATATTGTATGGCCAGGGAAATGAAAACAGCATGGTGACTGCTACATAAATCATGTCAGCCCATCTATTTATTTAATTAAAATATAGCTAACAGTACCAAGATGTCGTCAAATTGTAATATTCTGCATAAGTTTATAGAGATTATACAATATCCTATTTATAAAGTTTATTTTCCCACATTAGTTGGCTTTTTTCTACATTTTTATTATATTTCCCCCTGATTTTCTGATGTTAATTCCTTAAAAAGAAGCCACACATTGGATTTTTATTTTACTGTCATTTTTATCTTGGTTTCTACTTTAGATTTGCACAACTAAAATATACAGGTGTCCATGGCTTGGAATGACTATTTTTAAGTCAAAAAGGTACTTGTTTTTGGAGAAAGAGACATGAAATGTGCATAAAAATGTGTGCAGTCATGAGTCACCTGTGAGCCTGTGACTATCATGGCCTTACAGACTCAGTAGTCCATAAACCTGAGAGCTGTGCCTCATCCAATACATCTTAAGTAAAAACATATATGGCTGTTTTCTAGCTGTTTTAGAGCCCAGGCGGCCTGCGTGACTGTAGATCTGGCCCGGGCTGATGTGGCCTTTTATTACTGCGGGACTGCAGACACCTCGACCTATTACTCAGCAAAATCAGCATCAGGCGTGCATGGAGCCTGTGCGCTGCAGCACGTTACTGATGCGCACAAAGTGAGACACGGAGAATTGTAGAGTGAGGGGGAGGGAGCGAAGGGGAATGACACCGGTAAAACACTGGTAAACTATAGAGAGAACTTAAGTTGAAGCGTTACAGCAGATGACGAGAAGCAGAACAAACGTCCCACCAAAAAATGTGGCGTGACATTGCTCCGTGCCCACCGTGCAGGGAGGCCTGGTAAACAGGTACGGGGATTTCAGGGTGTCAGAATCGGCTGTACCTTGCTGTCGAGGACGCTGTCTTCCTCCTGGAGCACCTTCACCTCCGCACTCTGCTCCCCGGCGGAGGCGGAGGCTGAAGCTGAGGCATCCTCCAGAGTCTTCCCGTCCCGCTGCACTGAACTCTCTGCTCCCATGGCGAACGATCACGAAGGCGAACTCTCCTCGTTTTTGGCTGCGTTCAGTCTAAAAGGACCCAGACGCACAAAAAAACAACAACAACACTGTGTTATGTATAGAGCCGGTATCGAAAGCGTGGAAATGACGAGCTCTACAGCGCAGCTCCGCCCCGGGTTGGCCTGGATCTGGAGGGAAGAAGTGAGGACCAGCAAACTCTGTGACGACACCCCCCACCTCCCAACACCTCCCTTCAGCCTCACATGGGGCTCCGGTGCGCCCGCGGCACGCCTTGTTGCATCACTGATGGTGCTGATGGAGGACAGACAGTTTACACATGCCAGGTTCTGCAGCTTGTAGAACAGTTTATCTGTCTGCCCTTAGACACTGGTGAATTAAATTAGGACTGGTACAAAACAGGCAGATTCATTCAGTTTTTATTACCCATCTTGATAAATAATATGACAGTGCAGCTCTGCCTACTGCTTATTTTAGAATTACTATTTAATGTTGTTGAGGATTACTTGATTGATGCAAAGTTTTGGGGTCCTCATGCAGTGTGATAGTGTAGAGCAGCTTGGCCTCACTGATGGGGAGATGTCAGGTTTAAATGTTAATTGCAGGTTGAGCCATGTGCCATTTTGTTTGGAATTTCAGATTACACAAATTACAGCCCGAGCCCTAAAATCCAAGATCACCCAAGCCTAGAATGAGGGTCCCTGCAGCTAAATCCCAGCCCAGACACACAGTACAACAACAGAAACACTTGGAATAGAGAAACATACTGAAGCAAAATTCAAAGCATTAAATGTTTGTGACCTGTGTCCAGAGAGCAGACGGTAGCAACATTCACTAAGGTTACTAACTAGAGCAGTCAATTGAAGTTGCTTCAAATAAAAAAGCATTTTCACACAGAGATGTGGATTCGACCAGCTGCTCCTGTTGTATTACAGAATAATTTCAAGCAGGTGTCTAAAAGCCACAGTGAACCAAGAGAGAAAGCCTCAGAGTTGTTTAGTTTATATACAGTAGATGAGTTAGTGAATGACTTTTAACATGGAAGACCTGTCAGCAGGAGTGCTGATGTCATCTGAATGAGATGGGGAGGTGGGTGTCATTAAAGTGAAAGACTTCAATAAAACTGTAAGGTATGGGCACATTAAAAAGCACAAAGCATGCTCTCACACACACACACATTCAGGCAGGGTTCAGTAACGCTTCAAGTCTTCGTCACACTTTTCTCATGCAAAGTAAACAGGAATCCATTCCAGGTTTTTGTCCAAAGACAACTGGCAGCCTACTACACACACAGCTAGTTAGATAGTGTACTTTATCAATCCTGAAAGGGAAACTCTGCTTTTACAGTAGCAAAACAAGGAAGTACAAAGGATACAATAGGTTTAAATACCAAGTAGACTATAAGTAATAAAGAAAATGTTCAATATATAAATAATAAACAGTATAAATCAAAGCTATGGTATAAAAGAGCCTAATGACTAATATACACAAATACACTGTAAATAAATTACAGTCTCCAATGCTACATTGGATGTGTAGCGCATTAACAAAATGAGTATACAATGAATATACTGTATGCTTGGACACACTTTTTTACTGAATTGAATGGGAAAGCATGTCTAAACTTTTGACTAGCGGTGTATATTGTTTGTCAGAGGAGGGGGGGGGTCGCTCTCTCAGAGGAGACTCACTGTACAGTGTTATGGCAGAGGCCAGGAAAGACTTCCTGTAGTGTCACAGCAGAGCTGAAGAAGTGCTCTGCTGTTTGGCCTGTAGGTCATGGAGGGGCTGTGATATACAGCCCTGTGGGTGTAAAGCTATACATGGGTAGAAAACCAGAAGAAAAATTTTATGTTTTTAATAAGTGAGTGCGGTGAAGCATCTCTCAGGAGACGTGTGAGACAACAGGATGAGAGTGCATGTATGTAAACAACAGATGTGCTAAGCCACAAGTCAACTGCTGGGTATGAAAACACAAACACAGGGTTTTGGAACCAAAGGCGAAGAAAAAAAAAGTTTATTTAAAATGCACATACTTTTGATTATCTGAGAACCAAAATGTTCAACACACAACTGCTGCCAGTGACAGCAATACTAAATATGTTATTGGAGCAAGCACACAAACCAGCTAACATTGTCACACTGACGACTCGCATGTTGCCATTTGGCATTTCCGCCGAATGCAGAGAGGTAGAAAAAACAAACATCTATTAAAGTGTAAATTCAGGGTCTCCCACAGTTGTCTATAACAGACCTACCTTGTTGACTAACATCATAAAAGAACTGCCATGAAATAAAGCATCCACTTTTAAAGAAAAGGCTTCATTTCACATATAAACTGGCTTAAAATTAACATGTGCCTGTTATTCAGCCATTATCTACTAACTAAATCATCTCCAACACGTCAGGATCTGTGTGGCTTACCACGGGAAACACAATCATGTGACAACACATTTTTAGGATCAACATACAGCTGTCGCATCACATCACATCACATGGAATAGTTCAGCAATAACTAAAAATGTCTTAGGAACAATGAGTGTAAACTTTTACTGATTTCTGTTGGCAGCATCCAGAAGGTCAGGACACCACACTAGTCATAACTACATGTAAATACCATAACAGTTTTTTGTGCGTACAATGGGAGCTGTGTAAATAAATACACAAAGTTTAAGATGTGTATAAAAATGTAACACCATTATAAGACATTTGCACACAAAAATACATCTGTTAAAACACATTCAAGTACAATTTAAGATGATTTGAAGACAAGACTCTTCCATACACTGAAAAACAGTACAGAGAGATCACAAGCATACGCATACAACATATATGATATACCTGGTATAGGTGTAGGAGGTCATCTTTAAAAACAGATGTGCAAATACAGCATAACATTTGTTTGTTGTTTGTTTTCCAGAATATATTACAGTGACGTAGGGAGTGTTTTGGCTGCTGGGAAGAGCCAAGAGCGCATTTCCTGTCAAAGGTGCAGTGGATGGATGCGTTTTATGATTCACACATGGAACTTAAGGTACTGAAAACAGATCTGAGAGCCTGAGAGGAAAACAAGATGATGAATGGAACTTCATCAAAGAGAGTGTAGCTGCACAGACAGGAGCCTTGGCACTGGGTAAATGAAGCACTACACTGGAGACTCCAGGGAGGAAATTATGTCTCATGTAACAACAGTCAATGAGTAATTAAAATACTTAGAATGATACAATGCCTGTTCCTTTAGATGACTGGGATGGTAGAATACTGCATATCGATGTATATGTGATAATGCCTAGAAGAGCCCAGTGATCTCCTCTGTGACCGGGTCAAGGTCGATGTCGTAGAAACAGGGTCGGGTTGGCAGTCCAGGCATGGTGCTCATCTGAGAGAGACAACAATAGCAGAAGGCAAGAAGTTTACTGGCTGGCAGAGTGCAGTACATGATAATGAAATGAAGATGTAATCGCTTTCTTTGTCAAATTGCTCCAGTTTTAAACGTAGCCACTCTTTTATGAACAGTTGGATACGGTGCAACGTGTCAAGCAAATATCTGTCAAACGTCAAGGATGGAAAATCCCCCAAAGCAAAGATTTTCTGATCCACCGTATTTTTGTTGCTTAAAATTAAACTCAGCAAAATGATACGAAAATGCATATACAGAAAAGATAATCAACATTTTACACAGCCATTGATTAGGTCTGATATTTGTTCATATCAGACATATCCTATATGTATACCATCAAGTATATTGATGGCAAGACAAACACCAACTACAGCAAATCTACATGCAACCAGCACAATAAAGAGATACAGTAATATTTAATGAAAAAAAAAAAGATCACATTCAAAAACAGTAATTATATCTACTGACTATACTTGACTGATAAATTAGCAGCTCTGTAAAATGAATGACAGCACAAAGGAAGACAGAAGGGAATACAGCAAATAATAGGTCTCTATTGTAAAACAGACCCATTATATTAACAATGCATCTTCCCACTAAAACCCCTGTACCTTCATCTGAAGGAGAAATCTGCACAAAAACATTGTGTGCATCAATGTAAATAGGGCTTTGTCAATCCAACTAAAACAAATATCAGCAGCTGGTTCATATTTTCATAAAGATGCTAGTAGCCACAGCATCAAATAAGATTACAACCTCTATAAGAACTAAAGCCTCATATTAAAGCCTTTGTACCACAACACAGCTGTTCTACCGAGTCGGTGAGACTTGGTATCAAACATCGCAAAAATGAGAATAGTTCAATTACTGTAATCTAGACTCATTTAGCTCCCGAGAGACAGATGACCAATGTGTTGACAGCCTCCACTTTGGCAGTGATGAACTTAGCCGTACACAGTGGTTGCTTTGTTCTCATTGTCATCAATACAAATAGTGGTAATATACTGTTCTGATGGAGATCACTACCACACTCACACACAGTTCTGATTTGCCCATTAAGTAGCTAAAAGAAGCAGCATTTTAAAAATTAAAGAACTGAAACGGTAAATGATACTTTTGGTCTGAGGACTGAAACAACATCGATGTGGCTGTAGCTCAGGTGCAGAGCAGGTTGTCTACTAATTACAGGGTTGGCAGCTCAATCCCTGGTCTCCCCATTCTGAACCCCACATAGCTCCCAGTGACCAGCTCTGCTGCAGAGCATGTGGGGAGAAGCAACAGCAACTGTAAAGTGCCTCGTCCAGAATAGCAGAAGAGCTCTATGCAAGTGCAGTCCATTTGCCGTGATCAAGTGACGATATGCAGGATCTTCTGATATTTTGGCATTCACAACCTTTAATCCAACACACTTGTCAATAAAACCTCCTTGTGTTCAATAACTTTTATATCTGAAATAGTGCTTTGGTTTCCTGAACTGACAGTAATGAAATCTGTGTTAACTTTGATGATCAATAATAATGGAAAAATATATCAACTATATCCCTGCCTATATTCCCATAAAGCCAAAACAAAAAATAGCTTTCCCAGTAGTAGTTATATAATTTTTAAATCAGGACAACTTCAGCAGGCTAGAATACAGGGGAGGCATGTGTGATCGTACATGTGGGAACCCTGTTACCGTAACCAGCTGACAGCTGACAGCAGACTTCTGTCAGGGAGAGCCATGTGGAATTGCACTGACAGATTAAATACGAAACAGCAACTGCCAGGGGAAATTCTCCCTAGTGAAATCTGTGACGTGGACAGGAGGGAGTGTGTGAATGGAGATTCATGCCTAAAGTCGGCAAGACAGACTGGTCTGGGAATCGTCTGGCCCATAAAACACTGTTCCTCTCCTAAAACCCAGCCTGCTCATCTCATCCAAGCTGAAAAGGAAATGATCCTGCTCATTAGACAGGGAGCAACATTCTTTATATAGCGCTCATCCCATCTGACCCAGGGCCAGTTTTATGAGCCCATTAGTGGAAATGAGACAGAAGGAAGTGACCAGCCAACTTCCCGTCTTAAGGAAATGCAGCTCTGCAAGTAAACGAATGAACAAAACAAGGAGGACATGCTTACACAATAGCGGATGCTAACGCTCGCTGTTGGCTGCTGTTACATGAAGGCTTTCACCACAGATGACTCAGTAGGTGAGTAACGTGGGAGTCAACAAGGAAAGGTTTATAGGTAACTCACCTTAAGATACAGCATGAGCATGACTTTGGTTTCCAAACTAGTTGTGATGTCACATTAAAGGTCCAGTGTGATGTTGAAACCTGAAACCTCCAGCCCTAAGCAGAGCATTTTTTATACATCTGAAAACATCTCCACCTTCATGCCCAGGATGTTCTTGGAGATTCAAATGTGTCCATCAGTCATGTGGAGGGTTTAGTCCACCAGCCTCCAAGGAGATTCTGTTCTGTCCTACATCGTACAGTATCTTCATGGGCTTAAGATAACCTTCTCCTCATTGTTGTACAATAAGAAACCTGGCCTGAAAACGTATTTTGGTCCAAGCTAAACTATTATACTGTCTCAATAAGACCAAACATCATCTGTATGTACATAAACAGGTTTCCTACACTGTAGTGGGACAGCTGGTGTATAACCGATGACCACATTTAAATATCTAAAGAAGCTAAAGGAGCAATGTGTCAAGCAAAAGAAGATGCACCGTTCTCCTCTCAAGCCTGAGAACAAGTAGGCGCTTGCAAAAACAAAACACTCCGTGGCTAAAGTTGGAAACTCCACTCAGCCAAATCAGTCCCTCCATTATACCCAGACACAATGTGCGCCTTTGTTAGGGAAAACCCTGTAAGAGACAGTGTGGCTGGACTTTAGCCCCCCACTGATTTTGGAGAAGACTCCCAGTCAACAAACAGCAGCTCTGCTAAAGAGGAGGATGGAGGAGATTATTACTTACAAACACTTGTGATATTTAATATTATAGGACCATTAGAGGGAGGGAACTGTTAAAATTAAACATTTAATTAAAAGTTAAATGGATGATTCTTATGTTGGACTGCACGTTTATCTACTGAAGCTGCATCCATGGCTCTGAAAGAGTCATGGAAAAAAAAAAAAAAAATGGAGCTGGACTGACGAGTTCATGGGTCTGAACTCTCATCTGTGACAGCGCATTGCTCCGGGAACCTCACAACAACAAAATGTAAACAAACAATTACTCTATATTTGGCAAAAACAGTCTTGTTAAGGACTCAGGCTAGACTGAAGAGTGGTCAGTATATTTTTAGGGCATAGAACATTTGGTACAATGTGGTATTGAAATGTAAAACTAAGGAAGTAGCTGAGACAGCTCATGTGGTAACATACCATATCGTATAACTTGTTTATCCATCTCTGCATCAGTTTAGTGTAAGTTAAGATGAAGCACAGGCCAGTTTCAAAGGTAAAAAGATGCCTGGATTTACTGAGCTTGTTGGCCTTTGGGTCATTAACATGGCCAGATTTAGGCAAACTAAATTAACGTCTGCTTTAATCTGACGTGTGCTTTCTTTCAAGATGTAATCAGTCCTATAACCAATCTACAGCTTGTTAAACATCAACCAATATCCAGCCAAGGAAGGAGCAGCTATAAATCTCAGCTGTTTGGGTTTAAGGGTGCAGTGAAGGTTGCTCTAAAGGGATATGAACTCTACACAGATCTATTGTTTTGCTTGTGACCCCCTCCCTCACATATCTGAAGAGTGACATCAACCGCTTCCGGTTTATTCACCCTGTAAAGACCCACTCGTCCATCTGAAGCGCCCCCTCTTTTCACCCTCACAGCATCAGTAATGTTGGTGAGATCTTTCAAGTGTGACCTCTGGGTCTGTTACCAGTTCTAGTTTTAATAAAAGGCAAACCTTTAAACTTGATAAAGGATTTTTGTTTCAGCTTCATGCGACAGTAGAGAGCCAGGAATGGAGACTGTATAAGCAGCTTATCAAACAGCTGTTGAACAAACAAAACACAAACTTGCAGAAATGTGACATCTTCACCACTTTGCTCACAGTCCACTACCTGAAAACCCTTGTTTTTCCTCTAAAACTGTGTGTTTACACAGCATGCTTGTAATAGTTGCGTTCCTGGAATGTAGCTCATGGAACGCACCTCCAAAGTGGGCGGAGGCCCGTGGAAACAAACTCAGAACCTGTGAGAAACGTTAGTCAGCGCGTCACGTTTTGGTAGGTTCCCCTTCCCAGCATGCCTGGTGTTTGACATCTCTGCCTCAGCTTATCAAATTTCAGCCCTTAGGACACACTAGTGAAACAGCAGGAGGTAAAGGCTCAGGGAGCTGCTTTCTTCCTGCCTGGCTCATCATCAACAAGAGACTCCAGCACTAAGCAGTTCAGTAATATAGTTGCCAGGACAACCAGAGGACCAAGACCATAAATATTATTCCGAGATGAACATATAGGAAGAAGAAAGGAAGAAGGGCTACAGAACACCTAAAACAGCCTATGACCCAATGTGGGTAAACAGCAACAAAGATATTGGAAGTAACAGAAATGATATTTAATTGTAACCTTTTAAAAATGTGTCTGAATTAAGAAACTTGCTGCAAGAATAAATTAACTGGAAGAACAGCAAAGGCATAAAGGTCAACAGTATTTCTTAGAAGTATGATAGCAGAAAATTCACCATATTTTTGTGAATTCAAATGAGCCAGTTGCAGTGCAGGGTACTGTACCGTTTGTTATGTAGTGTGTATTTTTACATAAAATGTTTCTATTTCTGACAGAAATAACACAAACTATTCAGTGCATGAACTCATTCATATTTACATAGATATTTACAGCCTTGTAAACTCACTTCCAAAAACCTGGGGAATGTGGCTGTGAGCTATAGGGCACATACAAAGGAAGTCAGCATTAGCTCGCTGTTTTGTTTCCACTGCAGACCACATACCGTTCCCACAAGTGGGTAGATGAAGCCAGCCCCAACGCTAGCACGGACATCTCTGATCGGCAAAACAAACCCGGTGGGTGCACCCTTCTTGTCGGGCATATGGGACAGGGACAGGTGGGTCTTGGCCATGCAGATGGGCAATGAACTATAGCCCTGGTAATGGGGAAAAGAAAATAATGTTTGATGTGCTTGTGAGCGTGACAGAAAGACAGAAAAAGGAGACTCGGTGTGTGGGTTGGTTGTTGTTATTGCAGCAGCAGCGATCTCACCTGTTGGCTGTAATAATCTATCTTGGCTGTGGCCTCTGGAGACAGCTCAATGTCATCAGCCCCATACACTTTCTGGGCTATTGTTCTGATCTTTTCCACAATCGGCATCTATGTGCAGGACAGTGCATCAGACGGGTGAAACCCAATCAAAGGGAAATAAGATTTAGTGAATACACGACTGTGTCACATCAGAGTTAAAAGACAAAAACCCTGCAAGAGACAAGATTTTTTCCCCTTCGACTCTTGCTAAACACTGTATACCTTTCAGTCTAGATCAAACCATCACTTTTTGACACAGAGTGGTGTCAACAGGAATGTCTAGATTCAGTAAACGTTTGTGTTATTTTCAAATCCGAATGGCCAACTTTCTGAGCTGAATAATGGCAAGGAATAGTTTTTATTAATAAAGCCTATGTAATGCCAGAACTATGGCTCAGTGAAACATCCATAAGGCCACAGAAGAATGTGCTATCACCTCCCAGGTACTGACATCAAGGTACAAAGCTGCAGTTTGCAAAGTGAAAGAAAACTGCAGCTTTTCTCAGTTAGCCATCAATGTCATTAACATGAAAAATAACAGTCATCACAGCTGTTTGTCTGCTGCTGTCTGCCATGTATCCTGCTGGGTCCTTCCCCTCAGACCAGCTGGCCACCTCTGGGGCGTCATCTTTACAGTTAACCAGCCTTCTGCTGCACCAAGCATCCTGTTCTGAGGGTTTCTGTTACGGATCCTTCCAGGCTTCCTTGTTTACCGGCTTTCACCTAACCCATACCCAACCAAGCTACCAACGTCCACTTGAATATAAACACTGGACTAATTAATTAGCTGATTTTACTGGATTTAACTTGGGTTGTTAAACAAGTCCTGTACTTGTACTCCAATTGTTGGTATGCAGGCGTACTGTAACAGACACCCACAGGGTAAGAGGATTGGTTCATTTAAGCCACAACTACCCAAACACAATAAATCAAACCAGTTGTTGTTTTTAACTCCACATTCTCTGGCAATGCTGCAAAAGACAACAGCACTGTTTACTACAAATAGACAGTTTCCAATCCTGAAAAAAGTAGAAACAGATAATAAGTCCCTGTCATACAGCAACAAAACACAGACCTCAATAGCATGACGTCTTTCAGTACAGGGCTTTAACTTTAGTAATGAACAGCTGAGAAACACAAAAAGCCGATTTCCATTTACAGCTCTTACATCTAAGTTGTACAGGAACTGGAAGTTGCCGGGAGTCCTGGCAGCTTCATTCACAGCCTTAGCCAGCTCTATAGTCCCTCGCCCTCCCTGCGCCCAGTGGTTACACGGCACAGCGTCAGATGCTCCACACTCTTTTGCGATCCGACACACAAGGTCAATCTCTGCTTGGGTGTCTGTCCTAAAGGTTCACCAAGAAAACACAGTTATCAGGACAAAAGATAAAATGAAAAAGAACAAAATTGTGCTTCTGGGGGTCACAGAAATGAACAAACTATTCCATTACTACATCAAGAAAAGGTTGATCACTCGGGCTGTTTTTGTGAATGAGTGAATCTGCATGCATCTTACTTGAAGACGTTAAGTGCCACCACGACTGGTACCCCAAACAGATGTGCAATTTGAATCTGCTTCCTGAGATTGCTATGGCAACCACCTGCAACCAGGCTCAGATTCTAGAGGAGAAAGAGACACAAGTAATAAAAAGGTCAGGGAGAACCTATAAATGTAGTTCATCTGAAAATCAAAAGACCTATAAACTGTACTGGAGCTGGCTGTTCACCACAGCACACATCAGCCAACAAGACAAAATACAGACAAGAACCTGCAGCTTCAGGATTTCTAACACTCCAAAACTTACAGCAAGACTAAATCTGTTCACTGTACTATAAAAACTGAGTGCCTGTACTGAACTGTAGTTTGCAGAAATATAATTTGAAGGGTATGAAAGGAAATCCAGTGAAAGCTTAGTTTAAATGGCTTCATTTCCCATCTAACTGGAGTTGTCCACCCTAGTAGCAGTTAACTAGATTTCATGGCATTCAACTTATCTTGTTAGTATCACCTTGTCTTTGATGTGGTATATTGTTGAAACAAAGATAAAAGTAATATAATACAGCACAGAGTAAGACTGTGGTAGTATCCTATTGTGCGCAGTTCAATAATCATTCTCCTATTCTATACTATATACACTGACTCACATGGATATTGATAGCATATTAATGCAGCTACTCCAGGTCTGACCATAGTAATCCAAATTGTGCATGCTGTGTGTATGTGCTGCAGCAGGCTCAGAGCAGTAAGGCCATACAGGTCCCATAAATTCATTTCCCTGGCTCTGTTTTCCTCAGTACTTCTGGTTCTTGTTACAGGCTTCACAATTAACTTACACTGCTTCATTATTTACTCAGCTGAACCTGCCAGAGAGACCACTGATCCAAGCCAGATATGGGCGTGCACGCTTTCTCTCTCTCTCTCTCTCTCACACACAAAGAATCCCACCTCACTGCACTCAGGCCCACATAACCAGAAACCACATGCAAAGGTTTTATTTGTGCTGTTAATCAAATAAATGCTCTTAGCCATGTTGGTGGGTGTTGCATACAGAGGATTACAGAGAGTTAAATGTCAATGAGAATACAGCTGGAGACCTGGGACACATCACATAGGGAGAGTACAACCTGAAACTTCCTTTACTGCACACTCACAAATCTCACACACAAATCTCTATAAACGTGTCAAATGATGCTTCATTTCCCAAGCACACACACACACACACACACACACACACACACACACACACACACTTGCCCTAAGGGACAAACCTAGTATAAAGGATCTGATAAGGAATATCAAACCTTATGCCAACACACTATGAGGATGCTGTATCACCACCCACAAACATGCATGTGTAACTCAAAAACATAACACACAGACACGCCACCAAGTACCGTTATGTCATGTATTCCCCAATGAGTTTCAGTAGCTCTCATTTTCCTGAAAACATCCTGACTTTACCAGCAAAATGCACCGAAGTGAGACTGAGCAAATTCATTTAACTTGATTAGAAGTGATGTCATAAACCATTAACTTCCAGGGTCTCCCAGTGGTTTAGCTTTTCGCCACAATGGCTATTTATAATTCTGAGTGTGTGCCTATGAATGTTTGTGCCCACACATGTATATTAGTGTGCATTAATGTGGCTCTATATAGCCCATACCTCTTCAATGTACTCTCTGGGAAGAGGTGCACCAGCTGACACCTGAAAAATAAATAAATAGATCACAAATGGATTGTTATTTAATCTATGTAATGTATATACTGGTTAATTAATCCATTTCTCTTGAGTTACAGTTCTTAAAAAGCATTAACAACTCTTTTCATAAGCATTAAAATTCCATGTTATTGTTTATGCAGGATGATTGTGAAAGTGTTCACAACAATGTCACATGTTAGTGTAGGATGTTGAAGATGTGTTATAATGGAACAGCCTTATGCAGAGTCACACTGTTTTGTTAACTTACATTTGGGCCTCCTCCGTGCATCTTTAGTGCTCGGACAGTTGCAACAAGCACCACCACATTAGGCCTCAAACCTGAGGCTCGACATTTGATGTTGAAGAACTTCTCCATCCCGATATCTGCTCCAAAACCTGCTTCAGTCACTGTGAAGAAACAGAGAGGAAGTGTTTATACAAGGCAAAAAACAAAACAAGTATCATTTTTTTGAATACAAGATTCTGGTCAGCCAGTCATCATGCTCCTTGTAACCTCTCTATGTCTGTGTGTGATGTTATATACCATGTTTGACTTCATTTGACCTCAGCTTTATACAAACAAGCTCAGACAAACATCTGAAAAGAGCCACGGGAATAGCTGATGAGTCTGACTGCGTTTCTGTCTGCACAGTAATGCACTGGCTTCACATTAAGGGCTCCATAAAGAGACAGCGGGCCTCTGACATGCACAGCTCTGCACACAGGCCTCTTGAACAGGCTCCAAACAAAGCAAATACTCCACCTGGAATGACGGCCTTAATACGATAAGGTTTCCTGTTACTGTTGTGTGTGTGTGTGTGTGTGTGTTTGGCATCACTGTAATAAAACACATGCTGGTGGGTCGAAACTAGAATCACAGAGGAAGACCAAGGTTGATTTCACACCCAACATGTTAAGTAAGCTTTTAACAACTTGTGGTGTGTGTTCTTCTTTAGACCAGTCTGTTCCTGGCAGGATGAAGCCCGGTAGGGGTTCAAGTGACAACCTGTTGTGGCTGACACTTGATAGGTCAAGTCAGTTTTAATTTGTATAACGCCACCACAGATTTGCCTCAAGGGACTCTATATTTCAATCAGATTTCCATGAAGAAATGCATTATTCTGTCTTGTTTTATTTCTGTATTACTGGTGAAGGTACAAATTACTTTACTAGAGACATAAGTAAAAAGACAAAAGGACAGGAAGAAGGGAAGAGAGGCAGAAAGAGAGAAAGGACAGAAAAGAGACAAGGTGTTGTATATTCAATTAAAAAGATGTGAAAATCTTCTGGTAGGGGGTGGGGGGGGGAAGAAGAAAAGGAAATAAAGCACCATTTTATTAGTAGAAATTAATGACTTCATATATACCACAAGTCTCTCTGAGTAAAGAGCAACAAAAAGGCTGAGCACAAGAATGTGACTAGACTTTGTTTGGCCACAGCCCGCTGTGTTTCTCATTAGCACCACATTGGAGCTTTGGCTCCGAAAACTAAACTAGCCTGCCAATGAAAAGTACATTCTTAGGTACAGTACTTGTGGATACCTCTATGTGATCTCCCACAAAAAAAAAAAAAAAAGAGGACAAGTACACATTCCACGCATGCACAATCCAGCAGAGCAAAGAGTGAAAATGACAACGCATATGTAACAACAGCAAATGTGAAAGGCTTTCTATGAGAGGATGTCATGAGGAAACACTTGCAAGCGTCCTGTTCTGTGTGATAACCTTGAACTGTCCAGAGAGCGCGAGGGGAAGAAAAGGTTGCGAAGAGGGACAGAGAGAGAGAGAAAGAGAGAGAGAGAGAGAGAGAGAGAGAGAGAGAGCTGGATGGTGTTACTACCAAAGCACCAACTAAAAAACTGGAACTCAAGTTAGATCAACACACCCAACTACATCCTGGTAGAGTTTTCCCACAATAGACCATGATGTATTTATGAGTATGTCTACAATTTCTGATTACTGATTTATCTGTTGATTATTTTTTTCAATTAATCTTAGCTAGCTTTGTCTGAGAAACAGCACAAAACTAAACATATTCACTTTACAATGACATCCAACCGTGAACAGGTCCAGTTTCTGCACTTCTTACCTCGGCCTTTAGCTTAAATAATTAACTGAGTTAAATAAACATGGTGTTCATTAGCGATTCTGAATGTGAAGGTTGGAGTTTACATATTACAGTGAGTGCTGATTCTGATATCCTAATGCAAGTCTGATTTCCGATCTCTGGGAGAATTAATGACCAACTGGACAGAAATTATATAATACTACCAAATAAATTCAAAGAAAACCAATGAAATGTGATATCTAAACTCAATTCAATATGTTAAAAAGCACAAGTTATTGTATAGTGTTACTGAGAGTGACAGGACACTGGTGGTTTAAAAACAAACAAAATGGAAACTCAAAAAAGCTGCAGGGTTAAAAATGTCATTTTTTTGGTGACCACTTCTCTACAACCCCAAATGATTTGTTACTCGTTTAGGGAGGCTTTGGGGTGTGGGAAATTTTACAGCAGGGGGGGGGTTATCTGCATTCAAAACTCCAGACTGTTGATGATACAGGAATCCCTCACTTCTGGCATGAGGAATTTATCCCCCAGCAGCCCCCTCCAATAGCAGCATTTCTCCATTTCAAGTCCAGATTCCAAAGTGATTTGAAAACATAATATTACTGATAATGATGAAGCATGGTTCTGGGTATGTTCAATACCCCCACACAACCCTGAGTTCACAAAAAGTTTGTGTACTTCGTTTGAGAGGAGCTTTCCAGGAAAACCAACCTGAGCGGTGTAGTACATAAAAACACTACGGTGCACTTCCATCAGGGAAGCTGACTCAAATTGAATGCTAACATCTGGGAACACAATCTGGAAATGCAGCGGCGATGTTAAGAAGAAGCTACAAACACAGTAATGATGTTCTGTGACTTTATAAAGCTGATATGGCCGACAAATGTGCACCCAGCAGATATGGCATGACAATAGCATTTATTCTGGACACCTGGCTGGTTGTTTTTTTTTGTTTCAGGGCGCCAGGTGAATCCAAGTCCTCCGCTCTCCTTTTCAGTTCTGATCTACATAGTTTCCTCCTAAGAAAAATAGCTGGCACTTTATCTGCTAAATGTTTCACTGTGTTCACCAACTAGATGCTAAATTTCTCTGCCGTTTGCTGCTGAGCAGGTAGTGTTTTTGCTGAAAACAGCTGCCTGCTGCGTTTGGAAAAGAAATTGATGAGACCAGTGGTGAACCAAAACAGTAAAAATGAACGTTAAAATAAAAATAAAAAAAATACAAAAAGAGCTGAAAGTCATTATAGCTGAGACATGCTGCAGGGTCTGGTAATAATTCAGTACATTTGTCAATATGTGTGACCCTTTTACATTACACACAGTCTCGTGGTCCATTATTAATATCAAAATATGGATAAAAACATGTTTAAAAAAAACAACTCACATTTCAAACATATCTGAAAGAGAAAACAGGCTGTAGACATTGTTGTAAATTCATTCCATCTTATAAACTATCCTGCTTTAACTGGGACCTAATGGACTTCCAGTAGCTCCAGTGCAATGAAGGATCATTCCCAACATTTCAAGTGTGCTTTCTGTTTTATTTCCAGAAGTGCTTTAGATAATCTAGCTAAATCATTGGCTGATTTAACATATTCATGTAGGACTGTCACTCAATAGCTAAAATGGATGCAGCTGCTGGAGGGAGGTTGAGTTCCTGACATACCTGAGAGTCAGGTAGCATGCACACAAACAGGCGAAGGGGAGGGAACAAGATGGACACACAGAAAACAAGTGGCATGGAGGAGTTGTGGTACAAAACACATACAGGCCTCCCTGCTTCTCTGCTCCAGTGTTATGAAACCCAATTCTCTACCTATCCTGCCTGCACATTTACCAAACCCATAGATGACAGCTTGATGTAAATGTTGTGTATGCACCCTTCTCCTTTCACAAAAAAACCTGTCTCACATACAAATCAGCTTTAAAGAGATTTGCATGTACATCAAATGCCCCTGACAAGCCCCACAAACTCACCGACACATGCACAAACATTACAGACACACTTGTGCAGTCAAAGTGAATGAAAAGAAAAAAGGGTAGTGGGATAGATGGACAGATAATAATGGAAATATTCAAGTATACTTTGACATTGATGGGATTAGTATCGTTTACTCTAAAGCATTCCAGGTGGTCTTAAGATTTGGCATCCCTCCTCTCTCCTGTGTTTTTCCACAGTCTTTCCACTGGTTTCCTAGAAATGTATGTAGGAGCAGCGCAGCAGTCCAACAGAGGCGTGTAAAACAGAGCCAGAACTAGAACCAAGATTGCAACAGCAACTGGCAAGATGAAGTTTATGAATGAAGTAAACCTAGTTTCACCTGCTCAATTAAGGAAGCTGAGGCCATAAATTCCTCTACATGTGGGGCACCTACAGTGAACATCCTCTTGTTTTCTTGTCAAAACCCTGGATCCCCAGGGTTTTGTTGTTGTACATCTGGTTTAGCTCACGTGTGTGATCAGTATGCACAGACTGTGTGCTCTTACCCACAAAGCCATCCTGTCCAACCAACTTCAAAGCCAGCTTGTCTGCCAGCACAGAGGAGTTGCCATGGGCGATGTTGGCAAAGGGCCCAGCATGGACAAACACCGGGGTACCCTGCAACAATCAGAGGGGTGCACAAACATAGAGAAGTAGTTGGGGAATCAGTGCAACCCACAGCAACTCACACAATCACATTTAAATAAGGACCAACCAGTTCTTTTAATTCACAATTCAACATCTTGCAGTCAAACTAGATAAATACTTTGGCTGGCACTGTGTCTGTCTCAACAGCAGGCACAAGTTAAGAGGTACTCGACTGGCACACCAGCCTAACTGTGGGCCAGGCTTCTCTCCCCTGCTGGTTTGGATTACTCCCTAAAGCCTGGAAACACACACAAGCTAAAAGAGCACTTAAAGTGCAAGTTTCAGCATCTGGCAAACACTCGGGCCAGTACAATTACTCCCTGTTGATATTTAGAAAGTGCCGACAGCCACATCTATGAATATAAACCCAACCCAGAAATAAATCAGTTCTCAGTCGCGAGTACGCCAAGTCTACCTAGTATCTTACAAAAACATGAAACATTACGGTTTCTGTAAGCAGAGACTCATTCATATTTAGGAGTACGGGGATAAAATATTTGGTCAACTTTAAATGGCCTAAACAGTACTAAACTTTATACTGTTGGGGATGTTTGTGCTCGTGTTAAAAGTGTAATAACATTTTCAAAAAAAAAAAACCGATAGTGTCAGAATAATAAAAAAAAAAAAGATCTCAAATCAATGAAATACAGTTGTATGTGATGGTATTGTCTTCTGAGCTGGGGTGAAACTCTGCTACTGCTTCTTCTAAGCTGTTAAGGTACTTAAGGTACAGTGCTGCATCTTTGGTTCTGAATTATTCAAAGATATTTTGCAGAGTGCATCCAGTTTACTCAAAGTGAGGCACCAAAGAATACAGCTGCCAAGGAAAGATCTAGTCTAAGATCACAAGCTGTGTTCATGACAGATGCTAAGTTAAAACTCCTGAGAAAACAGGCAGAGGAGAAAACTGGTGAAAGCCAACTGACCCATTGTTACGCCGACTGAATTCCTTGAGGGAGGAAAAAGGAAGGATGGGAAAGCCTTGTGCAATTTTCTAAGCTTTTGTTTGCATACCTCTCCCTCTGCCTGCATAAACAGCTTCCCCTAGGAGGAGTAAATCATCCATTTAAAAAAGGCTCTCACAAATGCTACCACTTGTCTATTTCTCTGTGTAAACCAATAGTACATCTAACAGCAGCATCTAGCAACATGAAGAGTAAGATGAATACTGTACATGCAATCAAAAGGAAAAAAAAAATGGGGAAAGAGGGCACAATATAATGACAAAACATCCTTTCACTATTGCTAAACATTCAATAACATGTTGCTGTTCTATTCCAATGGAGAGTTTCCACACGTCAAACATTACGTGATTTCCATGTATGCTTTCAACTCCTGAACTTAAACTTGACCCAGTTCACACTTTTCAATCTTTCCACATCCGTACCCAAGGGAAAGTGATTCAGGAAATTTAAAAAAAGTTAAAAAAAAAAAATATGCTCAGGCTGGGTGATGAAAGTGGAAATGAAATAAAACTCCAATATAAAAGGATTAAGAGGACCAGGAAGGAAAATGAATAAAAACAGGAAGATGGAGATCATGTCACCACTTCCTCTTCTTGTGGGTCTCTTCTACTGTCCATCATGCCCGCTATAGAACAGTGCTAAACTAATAAAATATTCCTAACCAAGATTTTCAGAGGACTCATACCTGAAAGCCTGGACTCACACTCCTGACTGTCTAGAGACTGCCTCTCAGGAAAGATGAATGCAGTCTTTCTGCAAAACTCCACGTAGACAGGATGTTTGGAAAATGCATAGAATGACCGCGGTCTGCTTAACAGACACGTACACAGGGAGTAGGTTCAGAAACGACCCCTTTTCCTCTTGTGCTAGGTCCCCTCCAAACTCTGACCCATCTGAAACAACACACAAATGTGTGCTTCAACACTAAAACACACCAGCTTCCATAAGCCAACTCTGTTCTCATGTGTGCATCTGGATTCAACATGTACACTCGCAAGCCAAGAGGGCACAAAGGGCACAGGCAGTCAACATCGATGGAAAATTCTCATGGAGCTCTGAGGCCCGGTTGGTCCCGATACCAGTTCCCTGACCAGAATCAGGGTAAACCCACACAGGAAACAGTTTCACACAACAGGACCGGAATGCTTCCTCAAAAAAAAAAAAAAAAAAGTAACCAAATCTGCTGAATGCACTACTCCACGCCCTCTACACCCTTGAAAACACTCAATCTGGGACAGTCTCTGTTTATTTTCCCCACCCAGTGATCATGTAATCAAGCTTTATGACCAAAACCAAACAAGAAATAGCCCTAAAACAAAAGGAGAAACACAAAGCTGTTATCAGAAGTATGACTGCTGACCTCCAAGCTGGGACCCACTGTCATACACGGCATCGAGTGAATGAGTCAAAAGTGAGAAAAAGGTTTTACACCAACTCTACAAATAAACAATATTTTTTAAACCATAAAGGCAGATTCATAAAAGTTTTAAATAACATTCACAGAAAATAGAAGGCAAATAATTCCATCATATTCGCTTGGTTTGCCAAAGGCTGAGCTGACATATTCAAATGACTCACCAACGGCTCCAAAGCTAAAAATATTCAGTTTAATATCAGAGAAAACTAAATAAAAAGGCAAATATTCATAATAGAGAGGGCTGGAAAATGACTGAAATGAAGTCAACTAACAAAATAGAGATCGCTTAGGGTCACTTATGTATACGAGTGTGTCTGTCTGTGCTTCTGTGACGACACGTTCATGTATCTTATGGTAATTTCTCAAAAACAAAATGAAATCCAGATATTGTGAAAGGCAAATTAAACTGTTTCCATAGTGCAGCTGAATGAATCTGGATGAGCAGCCTCCTGTCTGAGACCGCCACCTGTCCTCTGTACACTGCTAAACCGCTGTTCCGATAAAGAGCCATGGGAGGAAAAGCTCCAAGTGAAGCGCTTTTAGTTTTTAACTTTTCTTTCACAGTAGAGACTGAGGCACGTTCAGCGCACACTTCGAATCTCCCTGTGGACTGTCAGGCCATTCATTCTACAAGATAGTCAACATAATGAATACTTAAGTGGAGTTACGTGCATTTCTCACCTCAAGAGTCTGCATCAGCGTGGGTTTGATGGCATCTTTCATTAACACCGCCAGTGCTCCACTCACACCCTGATGGGGGAAAAGAAACATGGCAGTGGTGGCTGAACCTCACCAATACAAAACAACCTTCTGTTAATGTAAAGAAAGGTCAAACGGCTGCATACTATAGATGATAAACGGCCCTGCAGTCTATTTGAAGGTCTCTGTGAAGCAAGTAAAGCTTGCTACCCGAAAATATTCCTTGTCAGCAATCTTGACACACTAACACAGCCATATACCATGTTCCCACTGGGCCAGGCTCTGAGGTGTGATGATGTTTTTGTATCCTGACTAACCAAAAAGATTCATTTAACTATATAGAAACTCATCCTCTACAGCTCTAAAACAACACAGGGGCACTTTTCTGTGGGAAACCAGAGCCAGCTGTGAAAACACAAGCAAATACTGAAATGCTGCCTGTTGTTCGTAGCAGCTGAACTACTTTACATGGATGTTAGTAAGGGGTGCTAAAAACTGATAGGACCTGCTAGCGATATAGTGATGATAAGCTAACTGTAAAATTGCCAAAGTTAAAATTCCCACAGTCCCTGAATGAACAGGCCACACACCAGGTCCTCCGCGGTGACGGGCTGGCCAGAGCGACTGGTCCCCACCACCATGCGAGCCAGTCTGGTTTTCATGTCCTCCAGGCTGTCTGCCAGAGCCAGGATGGCCATGATTTCGCTGGCCACTGCAATGTCAAAGCCAGTCTGAGGAAAAGAAAAATCACACAGTGCAGTGTCAACCACAAAGGCAGCAAACTGAAGTGTTCCTACAGTGGCCACAGCAGTTGTTGGATCTAAAAATACTCATTTTAGTAACTGTGAAATAAGAAACAGAAATTCTGTAGTTTCATGGCCTCATGCTTCTTGCATGAAGTTATATGAAAGCTCATGGCTGTGATGCAAAACAATACAGTTACACAATGAAATACATTTGACGCGGTTTCAATACCTGGTGACTTCTGAGTAAAGACTGAATGACTCCCAAGACCACAGAGCTGTAGCAGCCACTGGCAACTTTGCATAGTGACTGGCAGATAAGATCATCTAGACACTGTAGTCACCATCTTTATCAAATGGGCAAGCAAATCCAAATCTTATAAACATGGCTTAATTTTAGAGCAATAGCTTTGAGAACAGATTAAACTATGAACAACTCATACTGATGCGACTTTCTTTATGTCAAGTTAACAAAAAGAAAGAAAAAATGAGTGGATGAGGGCTATCTACAGAGTAGAGGATGGAAAACCAAAGAAGTCTCCATTCCACATCACAAAAAAAAAAAGAAACATAACTTAAACCCCATCAACTCACCAAAGAAAACAACATTTCTATTCCCACTCCCAGTGATAATACCCTGAGGGGCTATAGGCTATCCAGCACTGGAGGATGGTGGAGGACAGGGGGACGTAAAGGAAACAGAATGTATGAAGTGATGGTGGTAAATGTAAGCATATGCTGAACTAGCTTGAAGGCTAATTCTAGGCGTATGTGTGGATGGGTTGTTTTCTCCTTCTTTAAACATTTGCTTTCACTTAGGTCAGCTTGTTTCCCATTGAGGTGAAGTGTTTCTTTACAGGATTTCATTTAGCAGTCAGTACTACAGACGTATGGGTGAAATACATCTGGGATTTATCATGGAGAGGGGAGAGGGAAACAGCATTTATATGGAAGTGAGGACATGTCTTCACTTTCTCACGCATCTTCAAAGGGCTGTTAGAGGGTTAAGACTTGGTTTTAGGGTTATGTTAGGATTAGATTTAGGTTAGGTATTATGTATTTAGTTGTTAAGATTAAGGGGTTAGGTAATGTATTATGTTAATGAAGATAACAGTACAAATGTGTAGGCATGAGGAAGTTTTATACATTGTCATACTGTGTGAGTGAATGAAAAAATATCTGCAATCAACAGGAATGCAACTTATTAGAATCAGTGGATGTCTCAGTCCAACACTAATATTCTGGTTACAGTTAAAATACGTTTACAAAGAGGATTCGAGACTGTGAAAGCATGAATGCTACTTACCTCTCTGATCTGTCCCTTTTCAGTGTTCGCCTGTCCAATGGTGATCTTCCTCAAGAAACGGTCATTTGTATCAACAACTGAAAACCAAAAATAAAAAGACATTTTCAAAGCTTAATCTACTTCTTTGAGATTGAACACTGCCATAACAAAGACAGACATGAGACATCTTTAAAATATAACTTGACCTGATATCTGAGACAGAAAATTCACACCATGATCCTGACAGACAAACCCCATTCTCCACGCATATTAAATCAATTCAAATCCACAGGTTTGCACACACATAAACTCAATAACATGTTCAAAGATTCTTATCTCTTACTTGAAGCAGCTGTTGACACACCATAAGTGCTCATGCTATGCTACAAGGGATTTGCTACTTACTTTCTTCACTCAGCTTTTCACCTCTGCTCTGATAATGTGGCTTAAAAGACTGTGTGCCATTGTTACAATCAGCCAGGAAACCACAACATTATCCTGATGTTGGTGTAATGTAATGAAAGGGAAAAACATGGTTGGTCACGCCCGCACGACAGTAGGTGGGAAATCTGTTTTTAATCTCCAGGGTTTGGCTCTTAAAAAAAAAGAGCCCTCTGGAGCCACTGGAGTAAATACCACCTCAGTCACAGCAGCACCCGGCTGATCGCTCTCACTAACAACTATCACTGAGGTAGCACGTTCCACTCATACCATACCCGCTGTAATAATTTCCTGACTGCAACACATCTACACAAGATTTCAATATGAACACACATGCCAGAAATATGTCACTGCCAATTTTCATTCATGAGAACTAGAATCTTAAAATAAATAATGGTTTTAGAATTAAATACATAAAAAGAAAAACACACTCCAGTCACAAACTGTGTGTGACATTCCTCAGGCCTGGCACAATAAAAGACTGGCTTCATGTAGCACGGGAGGTTTGTCAAGACATCTTAGATGTAGATCAAATGTGAGTGATCGTCATGATCAAAAATATAACGTTGTCTGCAGAAAAGTAAACTGGCTGGTCTGGCCCAAGCATCACCATTTCATTCTTTCATCTCATCATCGCAGTGAAAACATCTTTGCTATACAGAAATCTGGTCGGTTTGCACATACTGTCTGTACCATTTAACATCACCACCGGATTCTTCAGTCTGCAAACTGAATGTACATGAAGTTGCAGATGATACTTTACAAACTGTATAGTGCATGTTTTATGTAAAACAAACTGCATGAATGAAGATTAATGACAACCCGTTGTCCCAAGAGCTAAAAAAACAACTCGTATATTTTAGACATACAAAGGGTTTGTTTCTACTTGGGGTTAAAGGTCACATTGTACATATAAATACTGAAACTCAGGTGCATTTCCCTTCAGTGTTAGTCAGTTGACCTGGGTGTGAATTCCAACATTTCTAGAGATACCTCTCTGCCAGGTGATCTTGGCAGGATCAAGGTCAAGACGGACAAAGGCACCGATTTCTTGCGGTGTGAGAGAGGCAGGGTCCGTTTTTTTGATCCCAAGACGCTGAAATGAAAGAGAGAAAGAAGATTAGTGAATTCTCTGTACATTCTTTCTTTTTGTGTGTGTGGGGTTCAAATATCTATCTATGCAAACTGAAAATGGGTATGGGAAGTCAGCTGGACTGCTCACTTCTCTTCTGATTATGTTTATGTGTGAGTTCATAATTATATCGCAGGTCCCTACAGTAATGGTGTTTGTAAGCACCAGTCCTGAGGGTTAATAACTGTTGTGGTGATACTAGTAATTCTGGCATTGCAGTGTTTAGACTTACACGAAGCCTGGAGATCTGGATGGGTGAAAATCTTCTGGCTCCATTTACTGAAGGGACCAGTCTACTGAACAGAGCCTTGGAGGTATAAGACAAAACAATCATGTTAATTAATAGGGTGCATGCATACAAATGAATATTTAACTGCACTTTAGAGGAAAATTAAGTTTTTATACAGAATGCATGACATGAAATCCATAAACCTCCCAAAAGAATTTACACATATTGCTTTTTTAATTGCTTCCATGTGACATCATCATTTAGTGGCAACATGAAATAACAAGGTTGTAGTATGCACAGACTGTGTCCCACTTCAGAGGACAAATCCTTCAAAGGCTGCATTTGAAGACCGAGTGTGTCACAGTGTCATGACAAGGCCGTCCCATTGTGAAGGCTCCTTCAAATGCCAAACTACCCAAAATCTCTTTGCATGCAGGCAGAGCATAGAGAGGCTGTCAAGGTTGTTTTGTAACGCAACGGTAGGGGCAGGAACAGTTGGTAACAAAGAAAACTCCTCCGTAGACCAGACTGTCTCATTTCAGTTCAGCCCAGGAGTTGGCCTTCAGTTATACAGCGGCTACGAATGCCACACCTTTGTAGACCGTGACCTTTGAAGAATGCAGCCTCTGAATTGAGACACAGCTATAGAGAGGTTCACAGTCTGAGGAAGCAGAGCTATAAAAACAAATAATATGCAGTTGTCCACTGCAATTTAAGTTTTTGCAATTACTACCCAGAAAATGCACACAAAAAGATTACTAAAATACTTAATTTTTAAGGTTAATATTAAATACTTTAATTTCCTGTCTTAAAATCATCACACGGTCACCTTGTCTGATTGTGTTGCCTCATGGAGCATCCTGGCATCGACGGCTGCTGCTACCAGGTTATTGGCTGCTGTGATAGCATGAATGTCACCAGTGAGGTGAAGGTTGAACTGAAGGGCAAAATAAGACAAAATAGAAGAAGAAACCGAAAGAAAGAAATAGAGATTAGGGGATTAGATGCAAAAGATTAAGGCACAATTATAGCAATGCAGTGGAACACAGTGTGGATGGCCCCATAAAACCTCTAACAATGGGGGTGTCGAAAAGTGGTGATCACAAAACATAGAATAAATGTGGCTTCAAAAATGTAATATGTCAAAGGGTTGATTTTATTTTAAAAAAATATTATGACAAGCATTTCAATTTACAGGGGAAAAAACTGGCAGTGTGAAGGAGAAAAAGATGAAAAAAGATGGTGTTATGGTATGAGCACCGGGGCCATGTCAGAAGCTTTGAAACGCGTCTCCTTCCCTCTCTATGTCATTATGGACAGTGCCTTTAGCCACAGTCAATGTTATGCCACAGCTCCAGGGCTTGTGAGTATTCACATGTGTGTGTTTTGGTGGAAACTGGTGGGAGTCTCTTCACATCTCTGGTCTTTTGAAGAGAACATAAGTCTAGCTAGGGAGCTCTGCGAGTCTGTCTGTGTGTCTTACCTCCTCCATAGGGATGACCTGGGCATACCCCCCTCCTGCAGCTCCCCCTAAGTACAAAGAAGATGTAGCACAGTCAGAGGCAGACAACACACAAAGGAGGAATGCTGAGTGCCAGACCCTGAGAGAACTACTCCACTCAGGCACAAAATGTAGCAGGTTGTGAAATGCTAGCCTCATGCTGACAAAGATAGCTTATCACAGTTACTTGATACAGTCCTAACTGCTGCTTTTGGCACCGGTCTCTGGCCTTGACCAAATCCCACTCAATGTATTCAGTAGGAAGAATAACAAAATTAAAAGTTTCATTCCAAACAGCTCGACATATTTCCTAATTTGAAAATGCCACTCCTTAAAGAATGTAACTGAACTTCTTGTTTATGGTAATAGTTTTCTTACACTATAGAGTGTGATGGCAATTTTAGGAATAATAATGAATGTCTTTTTTTATTAAGAGATGAATTGTACTGTATTACCATGTAGAAAAGAGATGCATGTACAGTGCTGACCTTTAACCCCAAAGGTGGGTCCCTGAGAAGGCTGTCGGAGACAGGCGAAAGAGTTGAGCTTAAGGTGGGTAGACAGGGCCTGGGCTAGGCCAATAGTCACTGTGCTTTTGCCTTCCCCTAGTGGTGTGGGAGTTATGCTACAACAAGACAGACATATGTAAGATTATAGAATTAAGTTTTTTTTTATTTGTTCGTTTACATCCAAGCCATTGCCACATTAACCGGAAACCATGATTTACTAGAACAGACTGCTTTGCTACAGTCATGTTAAAGTGGCCCAGATCAGATCTGGGCCACTTTATGTGGTCCTAGATCCAATTCATGTCTCTCACTGTGCAACTGCTGCCAGAATCACAACCTGTGTTTTTTAATGCCTGATTCCTCTGCACATGTGCATATTGCCCCTCATAGACCAGTAAAAATAAACATAGAGAGCAACTAAAGCAAAACAGGGGTCAGTGAGAGATGAGAACATTTGAAATCTGTTGGACATTAATCAAGAAACTTCTGTTCCAGTCAAGCTGGAAGAACTGAACAGTTTTTGAGGGAATTGCTTGAATTGACTGTTGTACCTAGAATGTTGGTGTTATTCCTGTACAAGTGCAGATCATATTAAAGGTTGCACGTGTCTAAAAATTTAGGACCGCAGCGGTGTTGTGAAGAATTAAAAATAATTAAAAAAAGAAGGACTCATATGACCAGTAAGTCACACTCACCCAGCAACCAGTACATATTTCCCATCAGGCTGTGAGTGGAGGCGGTCCAACAGGGAGAGTCGGACCTTAGCTTTGTTCCTGCCATAGGCTTCAAGCTCTTCTGGCAGCAATCCAATCTCCTCAGCCAGCTGGTCCACCGGCTTGGGCGTCTGGGTTCTAGAAATCTCAATGTCACTGATAAACACAGAAAACATGACAAATCACTCACCAATCAATGATATATAAACACCAAACTTATGGACATTGACTATGTTTGCTTGCATTTAAAGGGGCATTAACTACAATTTTAAACACTGATAAATCAAACGAAAAAGGGACAGGACACGGCCCCTCTCTGCTATTCTGCTCCCCTCCATGACATTTATGGTGCCTACAGGCGGTTCTGTTGCTTCAGGATCTCTACCCTCTGCTTTCAAGCATCGGTTTGTGCCCATAGACCAAAGAGGTAGTGTTGCTGTGCAGTATGATATTAAAAAAGTCTCCTATAGCCATGGAGATGCAGCGCAGTTTCAAATAGTACCCCACAGATAGTGGCTTATACCTTGGTACAGGGATCAGGGGCTGGAGTTTGAGGCTGTGCAGACGCCAGGGTCGGTATTGCTGCTCCTTGAGCCATCGACTGTAACTACGCACCACATTCTAGCAGACAAACAGGGGAGAAGGGAAGAGCAAGGTGAAGAATAATTATGAGGGAATACTGTAAGGAAATGAGGTGAGAACAGTGACGGAAACAAAGAAACGCACCTGTGCTCTGTAAGCTGCAGTGAGATGTCCTAACCCAGTGGCATGTTCATCTAAAATAAAATCAATACAGTATACACACATTTTAAATTTATACTACATTACTATGGAAATGGAAATTCATGTATTATAAAGCTTGTTAGTCATCTGTGATCACACTGTGCATTCTTAGGTCAAACCCATTTAGAATGATAGTGATTGTTACTGCAATATATTCAACGATACCTGTCTCCATGGTAAACTCGCAGCGAATGACGGCAGTCCCCGGTCTAAACCAGGTGGCTGGGACATCCATATCTGCTCCTCGTAACATGACTACAGCGTCAGCCTCCATCAACTAGGAAACAGATAAGAAGAAATTAGATATGAATAATTTTAAAAAGATGATTAAGACACCAGTAAAAAGAGACGAGCAATAAAGCAAAAAATAAAAGTGAAGCAGAAAGAGATTAAAAGATTGTGTAGGTCCTCTATGTGTATGACAGGCATAACTAGCTTTCATGACAAATAAACCCATAAAGATTTGGACAGGCATGACAAATAAACCCATAAAGATTTGGTTCTAGAAAATGTATTTGATCAGTTAAAAGAAAATCCCAAATCTTTGTAGCTCTGTTACCACTGATGACATTTTAAAGACTGCCCCCATGTGGCCAATGAGTTAAACTGCACATACTGTAAATGCCCCAACTGAATAATGACCACAGAAATCTTTAAATACTTGTTTTGGATGAAAACAAGGTAAACATAAAACAGGAAAGCAAAAAAGTGTGCAAAGAACAAATGATCACGCACACATACACACACCTGTCTCTGTAGGCTTTTGGAGATCCCCTTACTCTTCAGCACTACCATTCCACTTCTCTCCATCAGGCACTGCAGAGCCAGCCCAAGGGGTCCTTCTCCTCCGAGCAGCAACACTGATTTTCCTTCCAAATGAGCATCTGTAGAAATGTTTTAATTCAAAATTAGGACATAAATTCACTTCATTCATAAAGTGCTTTACATACATAAGCACCCAGTCCATATGGTCTAGGTTTTACATTGTCAAGCTCAAGTGTCCATGGTCAGTATTCTACTGCTGCCTATTTGAGCATGGATGACAATTGGAGATTTTTTTAAATCTGAAGTTCAGGATCAGGACACACCCAAAGCACAGTCAGTCATATTTAAACCACCAAGAAAGACTCAATTCCACTTTTGCTTTTTGCAACCCACCCTCCTTCTCTCTCCCTTTTCTGCATCTTTTTGTCCTCTCTCTCTCTCTCCCCTTTCCTGTAGAGGGTCCCCCAGTGCCTGAGACTGGCACAGATCCCTGAAGCCTTTCTCCCCAAACCACAGTTCATAACCAAGTCCACACCAAGAATCATTCTTCCCTCATATACTGAGGGTGAAGCCCTAGCTAGTGAATTAGGCTTTTACTAGCTTTGTGAGACACTGCGGTCATGTCAGCTAAGATATGTTGATATGTGCTAGATTTCCAACACTAATGCCCAGAGGCTTTATATTTAGAAAATTACTAACCAGTATAAACTACTGTAACTATACAGAAGTCCATCACTTTTAAGACACCATGAGTCTTGAACAACTGAATCTATTGAGCTGCATAAGGGATATTCAATTTCCAAACTTGAAAGTGACAAAGGTTTTCCAAAGCTGCAGTCTGCTTAACATCCATTAATTTATTCAGTATCATTTTTTGCTGCTGCTTCTATTTTCTTGAAAACTAACAGTAAAAAACTGGTACATTCAGTCGCATATAGCATTAGTAAAAACTATAAAATTGATTAACATGCTGATATGCCATTTGACATGCCATATCAGCATGACATGTCTAATACCTGTTAAAATGTGCTGTAATTATGTAATGGTCAGTTCTTGCTATTACTGTTGTTTACCTTAATCAAACTCACTGGTTAATTTTATCAGCTATAGGCTGTGTTCTGTGGTGACTCTGAAAAAGGTCCCTTCAGAAGTAAATGTAAGTAACATTACAACAAGAAGGTTTTTGTATAGTTTGTCCTTTACCTTTAACAACTTAGATCACACAGCCTACAGAATTTACTACATGCTATCCAATCTCTTTTCCAGAAACTCACCATGTTTCTGCAGCAGATCCACAACAGCACTGGCTATGGGTGGCACGAAGCCTTTGCTCAAGTCCCCTCGTACCAAACGGCCCATATTCAAATCTGATATCCTACAACAGGACAAAAATGTACATAAATATACATCCCTGCAACTTTATTAACGTTTACTAGCAAAAGCACTTTTAAGATTATATGACGTGCTCATGATAACAGTGTCAAGTACCAAGATAAAGCTTAAAACTGGATACACATCAGTTACTGGTAAAGCTTAACAGTGTTAAATAACATTGTATACTATAACATATTCTGTAGTTTCTTTAGTTTTCTTTATTTAACAAAGATCTATGATTACTGTGTAAATCAAAAGTACCATACTGTGTACCTCAGTTTATCACAGGGTCAGTTCTCTTCAAATCATGAGGATTATTTGTTAATTTTCTCATTGACTTGTCTGCTGGAAGCACAGCTCATACTTCACATTCACTTTGTCTTAATTTTGTGCTGCCCTTCCTGATTTGGTCGGGAATTAAAAGGCCCACACAAGTAAAGGCATTTCTCTCTATTGGAACAGAGAAACATGCACTGCTGTACTCTACCTGCCTAGCTGCTGCATAAACAAATATGTGCTGTCTATTCTTTACTATGGTCTCTTTCTATGTGACAATGGAAAACTCAGCTACAATAATACCCCCATTATGACTAAATATGTCTGCCTCTGGAGGTATTTACCCGTCCACATCCTTCTCAGGTTTGAGGGTGTTGAGCACCCAACTGCTCAGGGAAGCTGGGGGGAGGTGGAGGTAGATACCATGCACCCCGGGGTCCTCATTCAGCTTCAACAACTCCTGTACAATCTAAATAAAAACAAAACACACACATAAATATAAGAAATCGTGCTGAACAAACCTACAGTATTCAAATGGCAAATCAAGCATCGACTTGCTGAACAATGAGGTGGGGCAAAGAGTTTGCCTAGACAAATGTTTTGGCGGTAATGGTCATTAACCAAGAATGTGACTCAGTTTCACTTACTTCATCTTCACTGCACTCGTTTGCCAGACAAATCTGAGTGACGTTCAACTCAATCTGTGGATATTCAGATAAGGACATGGTCAACTGTTTGAATTTCTGTGTAGATTTGATAAGTCAAAACAGGCTAAATTAAAACTGAAATAACAGAGAAGAGAGTGAATTACCATTCCTGCCAATTTCTTATTGATCGCCAACAAACTGTCATCTTCACCTGCCTTTGAGATAAAAATCAGCACACTGAGAAAAACACACAGACCTGACGATACAGGGATGTTCAGTGACTTCAGTAAATGGATGACCCTTAATTCAAAAATAAATTGAGGCAAAGCAGGTTTAATGTAATTACTAGCACAATGCAACTCTGCCAAGGTCACGTGGTTTTAGACTAGTTTTTGCTCTAAGATCTGACAATAATTCAAAAAAACCTGTCTCAAAATTAAACTTGTGTACATCTTCAAATAGCCTTTCATTCTAATATGAGAATACAAATCCTACAAAGTTCTTTGATTTTTGCTTACAATACCTGTATAATGGCTAACGAAGGTTGGACTGCTTGGTTACTTCTCTGTAGAGCCACCATTGCCTCCTTGGTGCTCTGAACTACTTCTCTATGAGAGAAAATAAACTGGTTAGCAATGTCATTTCATCCACTTACACACTGGAGTTTTAAAATAAATTCAGGTCAAATACATTAGTTCAAGAAACCTCAATCTGTAAAAATTGAGGGTAAAGGTACTCTCCAGATAAAAGTGGACACCATTTAGCACTGTTAATATTAGATTTATGGGCTGTCTGGGTGAGAGAATGAAACACGTCATGGTTAATGGCTGGCGGAAATGGCTTTTAAACCTTGTAGAACTCATTTAACAGCAATTCTTATAAACAAACGCTAAAGCTTTTTTGCCACATCTGCTACTGCAAATTAAATACAACTTCCTACTGGAAGAAAAACGTTATCGTTGAATCTAAACTTAAATAAAAGAAAATAAATATACAATTGTAAGGATGGACCCACCCACCACCATACTGCACACGTGACAACGTGGGGGCGGGGCTTATATGTTAATTAGCTAGTGCCACACTGACCTAGTTATTGTTGTAAATGTAAACATAAACTAGATCAGGCCCACTACTATCTGGGGTCAATTTGTCAGTGTACTCTATTTCACACAATGGCTTATAGTAAGAAACACATAAACACAAAACATCATGTACAATACATATCACATACGATACAAATAGCACAAAAACGTATCGGTGAAAGCATACAAACAAAAACTGTTATTTTACATGTCCCATAACGTTACAGTAAACTATTTGGAACTGCATATTCACCAATTTTAGCATTGTCTCCTACAAGTTCAAGCACATTTCGGCATAGTGTGTTTGGCAACAGCGGAGGAAAGTTACATCAGCTGCCCGGAGACCCTGTGATGACATCGGAGACACGTGCAGAACTGGCCAAGAAGCAAAACGCCGATGTGAAATGAAATACCGACTACCGTTTATCACTTACGCTATCTAAAAATCGCTCGACCGTGTGGCCATATACGTTTTAACCAATAAGTTTCATTTGTTTCTTACCTCAAAGAACCGTCGCAGTCAAACTTAACCTCCTTTGGAGACTGTTTGGAGATAAAATTCACGGCTAATATCGGGTCAGTGCCGCCACTGGTAGTAAAACTTGCTGGCCGGAGGATCAATCGGCCGTTGGCCGGGTTACCCGGTAGGCATCTCCGCGACAAGCCGGTTGACCTGCTTCGTCCTGGACTGGCTGGATATAACCGAAGACTGCCACAAGCACTGCGAATTACCGACAACTTCATGGCCGTTCCTTTACGATTGTTTCTCTCCCACCGTGGCCAGCCAGAACCTGTCCTTACAGGAGGAACAAAAAACAAAGTTTAGGTGGCGGCAGGATCCTGATGTAGGTACGCTGACTTCAAGGGCAGTCGGGAATTTGGACATCTAGACGATGGTACACATGGCGCTTTGTGATAGTGGCGACATGATCAGCGTGATGTTGGGCAGCAGAAAACTTGGAAATAACGTTTTCAGAGTATAACGTTACCCAGGTGTAGCTCAATTTGTGCCTCTCGTGTCCTCACAAAGATAACTGTCGTTATGTGGAGACATAACCCTACTGTCAACGTAAGAGTCTCCAGTCAACCTAAGCTGCATGTTTTTGGGCTGTGGGAGGAAGCCGGAGTACCCAGAGAGAACCCACGTAGGCAGAGGGAGAACATGCACAGAAAGGCCGAGGCTCGAACCCGAAACCTTGCTGTGAGGCGACAACACAAACCACTGCGTTACCATGCTGCGATTTATTTATTCATTCTTTTATTCTATAAATGTATTAATTATATCCAAAATGGGGCATATATTTATTAACCAGCGACACAGCGGTATTGGCAGAGTTTTGAAAAGCCGAGGTACACCTGAAAGCAGCAACCATCAAACGGGAGGTTGTTATGGATGAATATCAATCATGTCCCTCTGCAAAAGCTTTGATAATGATTTTGACCAATTTGATATATTATGACCTCTACAATTTATTAAACGAGTTTAACAGATATAAAAATGTTCAACTAAAGTGTTTGTGAATTTTATTTAATAAAGTTTTTGCAAGTGCTGTTTTGCCAGTGAGTAAAGACGCGGTCTATTCTATCTTTAAAAGTAGTATCAATCATGCAAATATAGGTTCATACCCTTTGCACATAGAGACTGATTTTGCATGTAGTACCACATGATCCAAGTAGCCTAATCAAAGGGTGACTACATGCGGGTCCCTGCATCAATTTTCACACACAGCACATACTGTAAAATTATCTAAAATGCTAATTGGTGGGTTGTATTTAGGCAAAGATCTGTGACACGCCTAAAACTACACTTCTCTCCCTTTCTTTTTCCCTCTCCCTCTGTCTCTCGAACAAACCTCCACACAGGCGCGCACGCAGTTGGGTACGGCGTGACCCTGACTGGGGAAATCTTGACGACAAATAATCTGAGCCTTTGCTCTTTTGGCTTCAGCACCGTCAAACCACCATCAAAACTCCCAAATGGCAAATGTATAGACTGCAGTTCAAGGGTCTAATGCGCAATGGCCGTTCGTCAGCTGTTGTCACTGTGGTAAATCTGCAGCAAATCCGTCAAAAAGGTCCAGATCTTCTCTTTACATGTACTTAACAATTCGACCATTAAAAACATTTCTTTATACACAGCCCACACGTTTAAATTGGCCCTCACTTTGTTTGTACACCCAAGATACACGATCTTCGGGCTATAAAACTGACGCGTCACTGCAAGGCCAAACCAACTTGACTTCATTCCTGACATACAGTGGCATGGCGTGGCGCAATCCATAGCTTTAACAAAGCCACAGTTGACTGTATCTCCAAAGATAGCTGCGTTACGCATGTGGAACCTTTTGTTTCTGCTTAAACTCCGGTTTAGTCGACTTCAGAACTACAGGATGGCCACGTTACATTAGAGCACAACGTCTGCCATCTGCGAATACCACTGCAAAACAGGTAAATGTCATTACTTTAATCTTGAAATCATGCACGACATATTAATGTTCTGCGAGCTACTCCTGTAACCTAACAAAATCTTTTTTTTTATGGGGGCATACATTTGCGATTTTTAAAAAAGCCTTAAGTTAACAATACACCTAATTATACCTTTTACCATATACCTTGAAAATGTTTTAACATGAGACAGAGCACTTTGAGATTATTTTAATAAAAGAGTATTGACAATTTGATATATTTTATCCACTGGTGTATTTTAAATTAATATGGAATCCTTTAAGGACTGTTCACAGACTATTAGCTCATATTCCTAGCTGAAAGTACTGTAGAAAAACAACAGGATCAGACAGGAGTGCTTGAACTTGTGGTCTAGTTGCCTTTGAAATACATTCTAATGATCCCACTGGCTTCCTTATTTACCATGGAAAAGTTTTTTTAGAACATTCCTCAAACTTGAAGATATAACTGTATGTAATGTACAGAATCTGCAGAATTTTAACTCCAGTTTGAAAGTCAAAATGAAGGTTGGGATAAAGATGTCAGACATCGCAAGTTAAAATAACTAGTTTGGTGAGAAGCAACTCCTGACTATTCTTTTGAGAACCTGTTAGGCAAGTGATTGGTATTGGGTGGATTGCATCTGAAGGAAGGAGGAAAGGACATAAACAGACACAGCAGCACAAATTAGACACAGGGTTTGTTTAAACCTACAAATTAGAGGACTGCTTTGTGTTTGGATCTAGAATGCAATATGCATATGGTTTAGATTTTGTGTTTGAACTCATAGTGAAATTTTTAGTCTAAAGTATTTGTTGTTGATGTTTGCTCTTTCAGGTCAACTCACTTTAATGAGCTGTCTTTACCAATGTGTGTTAGAGGAAAGGTAACCAGGCAGGGAAAATCATCTTGACATCTGCATCTTTCACGTGTTCTCCACCCCAACCATGAGGGACAGACTGGGCCACCTGCATGAGATGTCCAACGGCCATGTGGAGCCAATGGAGTATTCTGAGTCCAATGTCTCTCACTCATTCAGTAATGTTGACCTGGAGGAGGAGTTGTCCCATGAGGCAGTTGTGTTTGACAACAGCCCTGCTCTGGAGGAGGTCTTTTCTCAGACACAAGATATCCAAAGAGAGATCCAATTAATTCGTCTAGATATTAAAAGGATGCGTGAGCAGAACTCTCGCATGCTCCAGGGTGTCACCACCATGAGTACCATTAAAAGGGATTCTAACGTCATTGGTGCTGATATAAAGGCTCGGGCTGAAGGTGTGCTAGCACGCCTGCGTGACATGGACAGCACAACTCATAAGCTGGAAGAAGCACATGGCTCAAATTCTGCCATCACACGTATCGCTAGAACCCAATATGCTTGTCTCAGCAATGGTTTTCGCGATACCATGTTTGAATATAATGAGGCTGAGATGAGCCATCGTGAGAACTGTAAAGCCCAGATCCAAAGGCAGATGGAGATAGTGGGGCGTGAGGTGACAGGAGACGAAGTGGAGGATATGATTGAGACGGGTCAGTGGAACATCTTTAATGACAACATTGTGGCTGAAGGTAAAACTACAAGATCAGCTCTGTTCCAGATTGAGAAACGCCACCAAGAGTTGGTGGACCTGGAGGCGCGTATCAAGGGCATCCATGAGATTTTTCTAGACATTGCCCTGCTGGTGGAGGAGCAGGGTCCTATGCTGAACGCTGTTCAAACCAACGTCCAGAAAACTGATGAAGGTATACAGGAGGCCATTGTCAAACTCGGTAGGGCCAAGCGTTATGACAAAAGCAACCCCTTTAAAAAAATGTGTTGCAGCTGCTTCCCATGCTACAAGTAATGACAAGAGCGCAGAGTACCTTTTTCCACGAAGTAAAAAAGGGTTTGACAAACGTGAAAACTATTTGTGTCTAGATGGAGAAACAAAAATAAATGGGTAAAATATTTAAAATTTGTATTAAAGTAATCTGTTGATGTCTGTAATGTTTGTTCAAAGGTTTGAGACAGGTATCTTAAATCAGGTATGAAGCAGACATGAAAGAAATAGTATTTGGAAATATGTTTTTGTAGCTTGCTGAGCTTCCACATTGGTGTGATTTGCCAAATAACACTGATAATAACAAATTATTCTGAAGACATGATACATGTTTGTTCTGGCCAGCCTGCCTTATACAGCGTGTCCTGTAAACTATGATAGTAAACCCTAAAGAAATATTACTACATGGAAGTTTAGTTCTTATGTAACTTTTTTTTTTCAAATGTCTGACAAATATGTCGCTACGTGTCAATGTACAGGAAAAAACTGATGTCCTAGTTGAATGAAAGGACAATGTTTTAGAAATTGTAATTAAGCTGCTCTTGATTTAGGCCAAAATATTTTCTGCATTATGAAATGAATGGTTGATAGTAAATTGTCAGTGTTCAGCCTAATGCACAATGCTTTCATTATTATTTTTTTTATGTTTGTCTCTTCTGAGGACACAAGTAACTGAGAATTGACAACATTCTGACTAGGATTTAATGTTCTGATATTATGAAGGGAATCACAGATGATATTTTGTGATGTACAATAATCTGTTACTTTCTTGCCTTTGTGTAACTTTATATATAAACTACTATTGTTGTCTTCATTCTTGTGATGTTATGTATCATATATTATTAAAATACAGCACGAGTCTGAGCGTATTCTTGTTTGAAAATCTGTATGTGATATTGAGAAAATAAAGCCTTGATCGAATTTAGTGTTTTGCATAGATTTATGCATTTTCGTAATTTAGGTTATCATTGGGATTCACCGACACGCCAGGGGCACTTTCACAACAGTTTTTACAATATCTTTTTCCCCTTTAAAGACCCCGGCACCCTTCTTTAGACTGCTTAGCTTATTTGGCTCCGGTGATGACGCCTAGTGTGACGTATAATACACGCGTCAGAAATACAACGCATATGTGTGTTGCTTTCAAAACAATCGCGGGCGAATCGAGTATTGCTGTGTTTTTGTTAGTCTTTCACCTTTACGACATGATTCGGACTAAAAATTGGCGAACATCATGTCAGTGATTATGGTTCCGGTCTTGTGTTAAAAAGTGTTCCATGTCCAGTTGCGTTCAGGTTAATGGAAAGACCTCTGGATGGGGTGCGATCGCGCGATGAGCTTGTTCGTTTGATGGAAAATAGGGTATGCCCACGCAATCACGTTACGTTGGAGAAGAAACATACATGGATATAACCAGTAATCTTTGTTACATTGCCGATCGCCAATAAAATTTACGAAAGAACCCGTTACGTGTGGCAAAATCTCACCTTCACCCCAAGATAATCGATGCATTATATATTCATATATCCCAAGATGCCTGTCCAGATTATGACACATCATTACTCCACACATTGAGCTGGCGGCAGCGTGTTCTGCATTAGTCTAATTGTGTACTGTCTGACAGGTCTAATTCCTCAGATTTCCTCTAATATTTTAATGAACATATGCGGATGCATTATTTGACAGGAACGTCATATTTTTAATCAACCCAATCTCCTACGCCCAGAACAGATGTGAACACATTCTGAAAATAAAGAAAATGCTTCTACCTTCAAGGAAGAAATTGCAGTGTAATGGCTCATGTCTATCACCTGGGGAGGGTTGGCATTTAAGGCCATGTTGACCATTCAGCAGACAACCAATTTTATTCATTAGAATAAGAAGATGCTCTCAAGTACCTCAGTGTGAAACACACTGAAGGAATTGCTTTCTGATTCCAAAGGAGGCAGTCAAAAGAGGTAACTTTAATGTGAAAAATTAATAATACTTGATTGGTTTTTTTTTTTTTTAATACATGTAGGAAAGGCACAAGTGGATAATTGATTGGAGTTAATGCTGCACTGCCTAAACAGCTTGGAAACTGGACTAACTCAGTGGTCATCGAGAAAAAGACATTTGTTTTTTGTTTTTTCTAGTCCTATTTTGTGACACCTTTTTAAAATGAGGAAAGGAATATGACTGTATGTGTCAAGATTGAGACATTATGAAAGGGCCAGTGATGTAGGCAAGCACCATAGTTTAGAAAGGTTTGGTTAGCATGAGGTTGAGCAAACAAATGCACCAAGAATTACTCGAGAGATTTTCACTATATGTGTCTATTGTCTGCTGAAACTTTACTTTAGAAGGATGTCATTTTGAATGAAATACCACCTTTCTTGTTCCTGCTTTCAATTGCAACATTCCAGTTAGCCATTTAGCTGTGACTGCTGTCATTATTATTCACTACAGAAAGAAAACCTACTGCAGATAAACTGATCAGTCACTGTGTCATCAGTTGCAGTTATACTGTATAATTATAACTTATACATGCAGTGAGCTGGTAGGGTGTATAATATTATTACCAGTGCAAATTTACTTGACTGCTGAGAGCCCTGTGTTTTAGGGGTAATTGCCTTCAGCATATGATACAAATTTTAAAACATGAAAGACTGTTAGATTTTCTTCAAACTGCACTGGACATATTTTCATGATTACAGTATATCAGGCCAGAAGAGATGAGCCCAGTAACCAACAATTTGTTTTACAGGCAAAATGCGGAACCTACTAAGGAGGCTGCAGGCCATTAGTGAGGAGCAGAGCTATGAACTGGAATTTTATTACCCTAATTATGATGTAGATCAGGTGACTCCGTTTCAACAAACGGTGGTGTCTGAGAACTCCTCAGCAATCGACAGCATCCTGAAGGAGGCCGACTCAATACGCAAGGATATCTCCTTTCTCCACTTGCAGGTTGAACATCTAAGCAAACACAATGAACGCTTTAGCACCTCTGTGCATCGCCTCACAATACTGAAAAAGGACTCTGACACATTTGCCAGGGGAATCCAGCAGCGCGGGGAGGCCCTGTATGCCCGCCTGCAGGCACTGGGTAAGGACAGCAAGCAGCTGGAGGAGAAAGAAGGTCCCAACTCTGCTGCTAGCCGCATTGCCCGAGTTCAGTATGACATGCTGACCCAAGCCTTCCATACTGTCATGAGCAACTACAATAGGGCTGAGGAGATCCAGAGGACTGCATGTCGGGGTAGGATCAAGAGGCAGGCTTCCATTATTGGGACTGATATCACTGATGAGCAGCTCGATGCACTGGTGGAAAAAGGTGGTGAAGGATGGGCTGAGCTGTCCCAGAGTCTGCAGACACGAGGTTCACGCTCATCCCACTGGGTGATGTGTGAGATCAGAGGTAGACACAAGGAACTGGTAGAGCTGGAAGCCAGGCTGAAGGAGGTCCATGAATTGTTCCTGCACATGGCCATGCTGGTGGAGGAGCAGGGATCCATGCTCAATAACATAGAGGCTAATGTGTGTAGCACTCAGGAATATGTGGATAAAATGAACATTAACATCAAGAAGGCCCTAAAGTACAAGAGGAAAAATCCTTTTCAACAATGTTGCCCCTGTCTAATCTGTTGGAGACACAACCAAACATTTTAGGACTTATTTTGGCTTTATGCAATTTTATTGATGATTGAAATAAACCTTTGCCTAATTAAAAAGTTATGGACAGCTGAAGTGTTATGCAATGTGTTTTATTCGTGATAAATCCAACCTTTAGGGGGACACTCAGTTTTGCTTTGAAGAGTAGATTTGTTTAACTGCTATGTGAAGTTTGACTTTTTTTGTAGTCGGGAATGACCAACTGTATAATTTACAGTAAAATAACTCTGATGTAATCCACTTTTGTGTATTTGTGTGCCTCAGTTTATGTCTTAAAATATTTTAAGTTGAGACAAACAATTTTACTGATGCACAGATAAATTATTTGCTGTAGTAGGCAGAACACCAAGATAATTGGCTCATGTGGGAAATATTTTTATTTTTATTTTTTTGAATGGATCTCAGTCTGTGATCAGTATGGCTGAAGAAGAGTGGACAAATTGACATGTATTGTCATTATTACAGTAATACACCAAGTCAAACTTCAGGGACGGCAATGTCCATTTAGGAAGCACAAATAAATCCGTTTCACCTGTTATGGTACAAATGAAAGTAACAAAAGCACGATGATCCTCAACAAGGGAATGGTTTTACATATGGTGGCCACAGACAAATGCTTCCTGACTGATATTTAAGTTTTGTGTTTTGTTAGTGTCCTTGTCACTACAGGTAGCATAAGGCGGTACTTACAACCCAAATCAGGTTCCACAAGTAGTCCAGTCACTCCAACATGGCACATTCATACAGTATGTGTAGTCACAAGGTTTGGTGTGTCTCCCAGCACAGTCTTAAGACCAGAATTGGCAAGGCAACCGACACCCACATTTTAGGCTACATATCGATTTAAGTAAGTTGAAATGACTTAATGAAACCCTTGGGAATGTTTAGCCTCTCACCTATTAGTGGATGAAAGCTACTGTTAATGCAAATGGAGCTACTGAATTTTTGGAAACAATTTTTATAAAACATAGGCTCGTTATCTAGGTTATCCAGCAGCTGGATGATGTATATAGCTATATAATTACATATATTTAAAATATACTGTATGTTGTCAGGAATTAAATGGTGTGGGTGTGTGTGTGTGTCTCTGTAGGGGAGGGGAGGGGAGGCGCACCAACACTCAGCTGTAAGAATAGCAGTCAGTTTCACTTCAAGGCTCCAAAGTTTCAACGGATTTGCTTTGGCAACTTCTCATACATAATTTCGTGAATGACTATAGAGGTTCCTCGTCTGTGTTCATGGTGTTTTGATTTCGCTCCTTATTTGGTCACAGCGTGTGACAATAATGGCTTAGCGTTGTGTGACTGACCGTGTAGTTACCGATATGTGCAGCGTTCCAAGTCTGTAGGCTACGTGTGCTATCAGTTAGCACATGCTAACCATAGGAGTTGCTGGTTCTAGTTTAGTAGCGGTTTGCTAACTTTGTATGGGTAACGACAGATTTAGTAGCCGAGAGTAAATTATATACACAGCCTATTTTACGGCGGCAATTTGTGTAACTTAAAATCCGTTGTCTCCCCGATGAGCATGACGTTAGCATGTGCTCTCCGGTTTGCCCTGCACACATTTAACTGCCAGTTGCTAACACTGCTAGCATCAGAGTTCTACTGATTAGTATTGTGGTAATGTGTTCATACGAATATACAAATATCCAAAGCATAAATATAAAATATAAATTATGTCGAGGTTTTGAAGGTGAAATGTGGCGGGAATTGCTATCTGTACCAGGATGGCCGAGTGGTTAAGGCGTTGGACTTAAGATCCAATGGACATATGTCCGCGTGGGTTCGAACCCCACTCCTGGTAGATGGAATTTTTTTGGTGTCTCATCAAAAGAAGCTGGTCTATACAGACAGTCACTGCCTTCATGCAACAGTACATTCCAAAATCCCACGTATAGTACGCGGTCAAAGAAAGACTGTTGCTACTTAGGTTTTGTGTCTTTACTGGGATCGGATTATGTAAGGCACCTAAAGACACTAAACCATCCTTTTTCTTAATAGTTATTTGTTTTTTAAATAAAATAAATACTTTGATTTCAATGCAAAGTTTTTTTTTTACAGTTAATTCAAATGTCATAGTTTTTCTAAGAATAACTGCTCCAGATTGGCAACAACATGATAATAATGGCTTTGTATAATACAGAATAATCTGGATGCTCAAATAGGCCTAAAGGATGTACAACAGTTTAGTACAAAGTGAGCTATTCATTTTATTACAGCAAAAGCCCACTTCCCAGTGGTTCATGCAGTCCTAGTATCCATAATTTATTTCTACTGGGCAAAATATGAGAAGCATGCTAAATGTATGAATATCTGTCATTTTGCATCATATTTACTCAGTAAAGTGGCCTGGATAAGTGGTATATCTGTATTGTACTATCATTGTGTACTATCTAGGGTAGTACACCAATAGGACAGAAGATGGCACTGTAAGCCCCGCTTGTAGTCTCGGCTGGAATCCAGCACTGGCCCACTATAGGCCTACACACTTTTCCTCCTATAATTTCATTGCAAGGGCGATGCCTTGGCCTCATGAATACCCTGTCATCTGTATCTGCCACAGGAAAAGCTTCACAGAAAACAGACATGGTAGCATGCAAATGTTTGTTGCACAGTTGTCATACAGATTCAACAAATGGAAAAGAACTCTTGAAACTTTATTAGCTGTTGAAATTCTTTATGCCGTGCATCAGCAACTTTGCATCACCAAAGCCTGAGTGACTTTTAACAACTGGCTTTAATCCATTATTGAGTCCCTGTTAGTAAAATTATTGCTTTTCAAGCCAAAATGTTATTCAGTATAATCAAATGAAACCTGACTCAAGAGATGATGGAAGGGTTTATGGTAATGATAATTTTTATTGTAATAATTTTTTTGTTTTTGTTTTGTGTTTGAAAATGATGAAGCAATTAAAATTAAAATGAGTAGAATTATAACAAAACATTTAGTGAAGAAAGTTTGTGTTACATTCTTACCCACGAGTATGGCTTTACATACCACACCTATCCTGAGGTTCCCCAGATTTGTTCAGTAACATGATAAATAGTCAGTGGTGGAAACTCTTTTACTTGCATATTTTCTTTTGTCTGTAGCTTACACTTACATCACTGCATTTTAGAGGGAAGTGTTTTTCCTTGTGTAATTTGAAAATATCATCTAGAAATACATAAGCCTACTTGGTAGCCTGCATGAAACACTGAATTGGTTAGGAGAACTGTGCAGACCATCTAACAGTATAGATCGTAGTTAAAATTAACTCTGCCTTGACCTGCCACAGCATTTAAATGCTGCTTATGTGTTAATGCATCAGAAATAATTCAGTAATATAGGTCTATAATAATAAAACACTGATAAGGCCACTCTGCTGCATAAGGAGTACATAGATTTTGAAAGGCTACTGGGCATGCAATAGCATTTTGATGACAACCTCTGTTCTTTTACTTGAGTACGATTTTCACTTGAATTTTCATTGTTAATAAAATAAGGACACATTTAAGATATATAACAACAAAACAATTGGCTTGTTGAGAATAGTCATTTATAGTGCCTTTGGTGGAAAAGTTTTGAAAACCCTTGGCTTAAAACACATTCCGGTTATTAATACACAAAATTAAATTTTTTTTAAGCTTTTTGATTTCCAATGTAAATCATTGATTTCATTGGTATCACGTCACGTGACGCCCACCGCGCCATGTTTCCATCTCCGCGTCAGGAAAACTTTGATCCAGAGTAAAAACTCAAGACCAGCGTCAAGTCACTCAGAATGAGCGCTGTGGTTTTGTATAAAACCTTCAAAATAAATCTAAAGCGACGAAATAATGCCATGTAATCATGGCAGCAGTAAGAGAGGCGGAAATCATTACTAGATTTCAACATTACTCTTGTTATTTCAGTCATAATTTCCAGTCATAATAGTAAGTATAATGTTAGTAACTGTAACCAAAATGGTGGCAGCCTATCCGTTAATATTAGAGGCCGAGTTGTAGGGCAATCATTGCATTACTAGACAAATTATTTCAGAGTTGTACAATAATAGCCATCAGGAGTGATGGCTATTATTGATGGCTATTGCCAGTTAGTATAACGTCCACACCCATGGACTGTGTTTTGACTCATTTATTTTGAAGGACACATCCAAACATTTCCGTTATGTTTAGCTAACTTTGCTTGGCTTAAAGTTGGTGTAAGAAGCAAGGAGAAAGAGTCAAGTAAGCAGCAGGAACAAAGTTGTGGGATCTGAGTCCACAGTACTATGGTGCTGACCCGTGAAATGTAATAACCATCTTTCCGTTTATCAGAGACAGCCTTCCGTGTACTTTGAAGACTACGGTAGATGTGCTTTTCCTAGCGCTGCAAAAAGGCGTCCTTTAAAGCTTTGTTTGGCACATTGTGGAGACTGGATGTACTTGAGGACGGTTCTCTTTAGTTAGCTAACAAGTTAGTTAATAAAATAAAAGTACAGTGCCTTGTAGAAATGCCTTAAATTAATTGGAATTTTGTACTTTTTAAGCTTTAAAACACATTGAACTTTTAAACTTTAGCTATTTTTCTTTCTGTTCTCTACGCGTTTTGGACTTGTTTTGAGAGAGCCCGTCTCCCGACTCCCGTGGTGACAGCAGAGGTGAGTGAGTGATTTGGACCCATGAAATGAGAATTAACCGTCATTGTATCAACAGAATACAGCATGCAGCACTTGGCTGTGAAGCTTGAAGTCGGACTTTGGGAGAAAATTAACCTTTAAAGTTGAAAAGGTTCAAATAAACCATCAAACAATCACTGTTCTTACTTTAGCCGAGGTGCTACATATAACCGTGGATGTAAATTGCACTGCAGCTGGATTGAAAAGTCAGAAGGTTCTTAATCCTGCAGTCATACTTAAGAGATAAAACATTAACCACGGCTGTTTAAAAGTCACTCTGTGTGTTTTGTAATGATCACTTGTTATCCATTCAGATTGCTTTAAAATGTATTGAACTTCAGCCGAAGCATTGCCAAACTAGAAACGGCTGTACTACTTGCTACTGCTGAAATTTACTTTAAAAATTCATTTTAACCTGACTCATTGTATCCTTTAAATTACTTTGCCTCTGCTGTCAAAAATTACTCATGCCACTGTTAAAAGGAACTGAAATTGTAAAGACACAGCAAACAGGATGGGGCTGCCCTTGTCTTACATTTGTTATTTTTGGGTCTTGCATCATTGCTCAACAACTGTAACTCACCAAGGACTGCTTAATAAAACTACACTTCAACTCCTTTCATGGTAAAAGTGGGCTAATTTGGGAGTGAGCATGGTTGAATTATTAATGTAAGGATATTCTGAATTAAAACACCACAAAGACACGCAACACACACACACAATGAAAAACAGATCTCAAAGCTGCAGCGGTATTTTGAATATTTGGAGATTATGATAGATGGCCTTTCATTTTTGGAGCAAACCGAATGGTAAGAACATCACATCATAGCGTCCTGTGTGAAACTGAAAAGCAGCAGTTGGAAGCAACAGTTCCATTTTGCAAATATTAGCACATGATTACCACATTACAAATTCTGTCTAGTTTAATGTTTTATCTCTTAATTCCCTAAACTAAACCCATTACTTGCACCTCTTCACAAGAAATAATAGACCAGGGTTAACTGTTCCCTAGGTCGTGATTTTTCTGCAATTGAAATTAACTTAACTGCGATGCATGTGTTGAGAGAAAGTCAGTTCAATATAGTTAGACTCAGCCATTGTGCATTTCACTTATTACTGTGGAAGAAGAAATTGAGTATGCAACAGAATTAAACACTTAAAGATTTGACAAGACTGGGCATGTGTAATGTTATTGTGGATGAACCAAAGCAAAATAAGGGTGACGGCGTTTCAAACTGATATAACTGGCTTCTTTGTTCTTGAGCTTTACAAAGGTCAACAACGTGATTGTCAGTGATTACAGCATATGTTACTATTGCAAGTCATTTTACACAAAAATCAATGTCCAGATTGTTATTGTAATGTTGTGGTGCAACATTATTGAGCAGTGCATGGTGGTTCTTATGAAGTGCCAGCTCTTTCTGTGTGATATGTGACCATGTTCAATGTTTTGTGTGTGTGTGGCTCCAGTGCATCATGTGATGACTCCTCTCCCTAGGGTTCAGCTCACCACTTAAGGTCACATTAAAGCAGAAAATAACTAATAGAAGAATTTCTGGAATTATGGAATGAACTGAAATTGATTTTAAATGGTATTCTTATTTGCAGGTGCAAAAGGAAGGCTGTTATACTGGGTTTTGTGAGGTCTGGCACTGTATCACACAATTTCAACAAATCTAGAGTTGGATTAATTGACTATAATGGCATCACACGGGGACATTGCTGAGGGAGGAGCTAATGAAGAGTTCAATGATATCATCAAATGGAGATCAGGTATGTTTTTTTTTTGCTAATTTTGACACTTTTGGAGGTTTTGAACCTTTTTGTTTAATGCACCATATAGGGCACATTGCATGTAGGGTGTGTAAGGGTGTGTGTACTGTAGATCCAGATGTTGACAAATGTTTGACAGGTCCTCAGCAAAATGACAGGTTGTCTGATAACTGCACAGAGAGAACGGTGGTGTTGTACGTGCATACGAGCAGTCACTGAAAGGAAGTGCTGACAGAGCCAGAAATCCTGTTGTGAATGGTTTCCCCCAGTTCCCATAGAGGCAGGGGAAAAGGGACTGAGGCAAAACATGCAACAAAGGCAAGAAGAGAACAGGAGATGGTGTGCAGAGAAAGAGAAAGTAACAGGAAAGGTGACCACTGACGGCAAAGAAAAGGGAAGGCAAGAATGCAGGGATGGGTTTAGAGAGCCGCGCCCTGTGATCCCTTTCTCTCTGGATCATTCCATTCCATAGGTTGCGCTTTTGTAGAGGCCACCCTCAGAGAAAGAGAGACATACAAGTTGTTGTTGTTTGAGCAGGAATACTAAGTATAGCTGATGTTGTGTCCATCTCCTTTCAAAGATGGACTTTATTGCTGCCCATCAGAATAGGATTTGACTTTAAATGACATTGTTGGTGTGCTGTACATTGGCTCAATTTTGTTGGTGGGATAAGTGATGGAGACACAGCAATAATAGAAAATGTTTTCCTATACTTAGAAGTACTTACCTTTTTAATTCACTGGACTTTAGCTTGATGCTTACAAAGTTGTATTCAGAATCAGCTTTATGGGCCAGGTGTGTCGGACACATGAGGAATTTGACTCTGGTACATCGGCTCTCAATGTGCATGTACATATCCCCATGCAAGGGGCAAGTAACAGTAAACCAACATAAGGCTAGTATAACAAAATAAGCAGGATTAACAGCAACAAAAAGTGCAAACAATGCAAAATACGCAGTGTAAACAGGCAGCAAACAGTGTAGACAGACAAAGGAATGTTCATTGTGAAATGAGATAAACAGGAATAAAAATAGAGTACTTAAAAATAGAGACCTGTACAGATCTATATAATCTTTACAATGTATATTTACAGGTATTGCACTGAGGGTTATTTTCCAGTCATACTGTTGTGGGAAGAAACTGTCCCTGTGCCTGGTTGTCTTATTTCAAACAGATTGTGTCCAGGGTGTGAGGGGTCTGCAGTGATCCTCTCCGCCCTCCTTTTGACTCGTGAGGTGTACAGGTCCTCCGTGGAGGGCAGGCTTGCACCAATGACCTTTTCTGAAGTCCTGACTGTCCGCTGAAGTCTGTACTTGTCCTGTTTGGTTGCTGAGCCCAACCAGTGGAGGTGAAGAGGACAGACTCGATGATTCCTCTGTAGAATTCTACAATAGGCTGAACTGAGTCAACTTATTAAAGTCATAGCATTAGTCTAATTAAGGGAGAAAATCACTGGTATGTGACATATGTAACTGGTAGTAAAAACAGTAATGTGCACTATAAATTCTTTATACAATGTTGGCTTCAAAATGCCATGGCATGTGCTGTTCTGATGTCCTGACACTGTCACCCAGTCCCTCTGCCAATTACCTGCCCTTTCTGTCTCTCTCTATATATTATATACTAAATACAACCAGAAATAATTTAAAGAAGCATATAGATCCTGTCCAGTCCATGTGCCAGTTTTCCCCGCCCGCCCAGCGTCAGAATGCTGGCAGTTCTGCGCCAGGAATTCCACTGTGCCGATGAAGTTTGTAATTTACAACTCTTGTCTCCAGACCACAATGCTTTTCTTATAAGATTCAGGTTTCCCTAGCAACTCTAAAAGTAATGTTTTCTTTCATGGCAACGAGGGAAAAATTTACCACGTAGCATAGCTGCACACTAAAGAAGCTCATGAAATACAGCAGAGCCCGTATGTGTCAAGGTAACCCTGCAGGCTGTGGCTCAGCTGTGTCTTAATTTTACTTTGGTTTTTTTTTTTTTTTGAGGTATGTGTGGTCAGTGGGCTTGCAGAAATATGGGTGAAATTAGGTATTGTGTTGTATAATCCTGAGAACTGAACTGTGTGAACCAGGTTAAACCATGGGAAACACAAATTTCACAAAGAGAAAATTCTGAAATTAGTTTCCCATATGGAGTATACCCTGCTACACCCTCATCCAAAATAAAACACAGTTGTACATGCTCTTCTTTCCATTATGCACTGATTGACTTTAGAGATCAATGCAGTTTTAGTTGCTGAGGCTTTTATAAACTGTACAGACTGATTCATATTCATAACACTGATCTCGTGACAGCCAAATAAACCTGTGTTTGTCTTCTGGTGTCTGGTGACACTGGTGAAATTGAGACAATAAGATAGGTGGTGAGAGAGAGATTTATAGCTTACCAGGAGTGGAAATGTGGGAAGTGACGGAAGCAGGTGTGTGCGCACGTGTGTGTGTGTAGTGGGCAGGTTTTTCCACACCTGAGACGAGTCTTGTGAGTGATCTGTTCATGTGATCTCCAGGCTTGGAAGGTTAATGAATTTATTCCCTACAGTGTAGTGCATACTCAGACAGCATAGTATATCATTTATGTCATTATTAATGATTGACAGAAAGTTAGTGCTGCTTGTCCTGATCTTGTGGAGAGAGTAGTTATTTCAGCTGATGTGTATTCCATCTGTGAACTAGTGCTAGACTGAGATCATCATTATAGTGGGTGTTGTGGCAGGGGTGTGTATACTGTCTTGTCACTCTGCCTCATATGATAAACAAGTGCTTTTCACACACATATGCACGCTCATGCCTCTTGAGGAGCGGCTCATGTTTTCCAGCATGTCAGGTTGTTATGCAAGCCCACAATGGACCAGGGAGGTAGAGAAAAATGTTAAGCAAAGGGCAGAGGAAAGAGGGTGCAATGTGATAAAATAGTGCATTTACACACAAAAATGACTCCAGAAATTGAATAACAATCATGTACCTGTTGTTTATCAGCTTTATTGATTGGTGGGTTTAATTATTAACATGCAGGATCAACATTTTGGTCTCCTGTGTGGCCCACACTCCTGATCAAACAGTTCTTAGCTATTTTTTGTCCATAGTAAAATATCAGGTTGGTGGGATGTAGCATGCCCCTTAAAAGCCTTTGTCAATCACTGAAGGGTTTATACTAAATTGACTAGTGCTGAAACTGTTAGTTCCCGCTTTTTCTATCAGTTTGTTTTTTATATCATTGAATAGCTCTGGGTCTTGGACCTTTTGAAGTGACAAACAACTTGGACTATTTTCCTCATGTTTAATATACTGTAAATTAAACTGTCATTAGCTGTAGCAGTGAAATTGACCTAATAAGCTGAAATCTGTTGGGAAACCAGATGTGTGTTGTTTGCCACGTGGCACAGCCATTCTAAAGGGGTTGAAACAGATGCTAAGGAGTGCTTATAAAAAGTCCTTGACAAAGTTCTGGTCAGATTACTGCATAATCCCTGATGCCCTGTCTACTGTACCTATCCGATCTGTGCACTTCCCCTCCCTCCTGCCCATTCCAGAGTGCACACAAATGTGAACAGGGTTATGGGCTGTTGTTTAACAGCCATTACACAACAATGAATACTCACCTGACCTTTTTTCCTTTCAATTTATTTGTCTAAAAACCTCACTTACACAGCTCTTGTTACCTGACCTGGTTTTGTTCATCTCCATCTTTTTTTCCTCTATTGTTTCTGCCTTTTCTTCCCCTCACTCATTACTCTCTCCTATTATCCAGAGTGTAAATATGAGAATAACATAGGTAGTGCTAAGCAACATACTAAAGATTTGGCGAGTGTCTTGCAGCTCATTGAGTGTATGTAGTTTTTTTTTTTTTTGGTTGGCTGGCTGTTTTGAAGTGGAACCTTCTCAGCTACACACATAGTTTTCGGGTGTGACATGCAGTTAATGGGGGAAAAAATATTGTTGTATCTAATAAGAGAACAGGGCTGAGTGATTTGTCACCAAATGTAGGGCGTGCTCTGTAACTGTACTAGCTCGACTACATGGCCTCTTGGCAGTAGGATGGGCTGAGTACTTTGAAATATTTCAGCTGGTGTGTGTGTGTGTGTGTGTGTGTGCGTGTGTGTGTGTTATGTGTGATCGGGATGCTTCTTTAGAAATAATTGGATGAAACATTAAGGGCCCAATCTTGAGGCTCCACGGTGTCTGATCAAGATGTATCGGTGCAAGTATTGTTTGGGTGTGTCCATGTTCATTTTGGTAATTTTGACGACGAGGAAAAACGGTTCAAGCGCTCATGCAAGTACCAAAAGGGCTGTACTTGGTCTCCTCATTAAAGCAGGGGTGTGTTTTGGGCGTCACATGGAATTATCCAATCAGTGTGTTACCTCACATCGCCTTTAAGAGACGTGCGAGTTTGAACATTTGGTGGATTGCTAGCATACTGGCGGACTTGCCAGGTTGGATATCAGTAAGATTTCCCTGAGGAAATGCAGTCTGACGTGTTTGTTTATATACCAGCATGTAAGGGCACCATTGGTCAACTAATTAGCCAGTTTAATTTCTCTTTATGCTCGTAAGCCAGTTCTCTCAATATGATCGCTCTTCTCAGAGCCATACTCTTCCTTGCTATGGTATAAAAACTTTTCAAACTGTCATTTAACGCAGATAGATTATTATGGTTGTGTATCTGCATGTGTAAGTAGCGTGGAACACAGATTGAAACAAAGGAGCTTTCACTGTGGCCACCCCTTCGCTCTGAGATGTCATGACCCGAATTTCTTATTTTTGTTAGCCTCTTTTTTTAGGTTTATTGTTTGAGTTGATGTTCAGTGAGAGTTCCCATGAGTGTATTTTGATTTCAACGAAGGCGTGTGTCCACAGGGAATGCAGCTGGATGTGTCTTCAGAGCAATATATAGACACAAGTGCCTTTGTGGTAGTTTCTTTGCTGGTAGCTGGATCTGGCTGCCTGGGAAGTGGGAGGAAACTAGCTTTGCAAAACCCTGGCTGGAAATTTGG